TGACCAAGTTGATGAGTTCTACATCATCTACGAGGACAAGTCAAGCCACAAAAAGGCGGAGACCCTTCGAGAGCAAGATGAGACTGATCTAGGTGAATCTTGGCTACATGCATGATCTCGACCCTTTATAATCGGAATATATTTGGATTGATTTTTGGCATGGAACCCTTTATCATAATTCAATGCATGAATGGATCCAATAGTTTTGGCCCCATGATTGAAAACAATCCTAACCATCTCTGATGCGCCTCCAAGGAGAGGACTCTGAAGGATGCTCCTGAGGGGTTGCCGCAGAATCTTGTGAAAATCCCAGCTGAACAGCTTGCCCCAGAGGTGGTCGGAGCTAAGGACTGCATGGTCATTGCATGCATATGTCATTAAAATTCTATAAAGAGTCATGATATAAGTTCTTTGGGTTCCGTTTTGTGCAGCACATGCACTTTGTTTCCTGATCAGCCTGTTGCGGACTTGGAGCTCTACATGGTTAGCATGGAGAAGAAGAAAGAGTCCATTGAAAAGATGGTAAAGACTCTGAGTACTTCCAAAGAAGATGGACCTCAAAAGTCCTTTAACTGAATTTGATGATATGCATGTTCAAACCTGCAAGTCTATATGCACATATATATGTTTTATCCCAGGTTGATCTCAGAGCTGAAGCCTCTTGACGCCTCTATGAGTACATGTTATGAGCGCTTCTCCGCCTTTCTGACTGAGTTGAAGCTGGAGCATAAGGATGGCAAACTCCAGAGTGAACGGCTCAAGGAGTTGCTTGGTCCCTACAATTGGAGGAGTGCAAATCAAAATCAATTTAACTAATCTTTTTATAACCTTGCATTTTTGTTAGCCATTTTTGAGGGGTCAAGCATGGCTGAACTTGGGTTTTCGTTTTGCCTATTTGATCCATGGATGGTGGCAACCATGATGACGCTGAAGAATGGCTTCAAGAACTTCTGAAGTACAACCGGGAGGCCCTTAACTGCATGCATGTGTGAACCCAATGCATTAAGTTCTATATATAAGTTGGAATTTGCCTCCTTCAAATCGATATATATACTTTTTTACCCTGGCCAGGCCAACAGTAGATCTTCCCAAATCCATGATGGTCCAGGCAAGGCTGTTTTTGAGTTGTGGGCCAAAAAATGGTAAACACATTGATCTTACCATGCATTATGCAGTTTATATATATCTATATCTTTGAATGCATCCACCATTAATTGGATCTAGACCATGATTCTCCCACCTGCCAGTCCTCCAACCAGTTCAGCGAAAACGGCATCATTGGAAGGATGTCCTGGACGAAGCTACAGTGGCATTAGCCAGGACAGAAGAGTGTTTCCGAGACATTGAGGGTGACCCAGTTCTGGATTACAGGCTTCCACCCCGAAGGGGCATGTTGGCAGGAGGAATCCTGAAACATTGTTACTCAGCACTTGATTCGATCCTGATGGCCCAGTACCCATGTATCTTCAAGGTGGGGTACACCCACAATCCCACATGGAGGTTTCACAACAAGATCTATGGATATGGCAATGATGTTGCAAAATGGTCAAATATGGTTGTATTGTATGCTGCCTCCGAAACTATATCACCTTCGTATATTGAAGCTGCCCTGATCCAGCGCCACAAGGGACCCTTGAATGCAATTAGATTTGCCAAGCTTTCATGCACTGCCCTTTAAAATCTTATTTGAATTTGTTTTTGGGACAGCATCAATGAATGATCCTCAAAAAGCGAACCCCCCTTGCTCAGGACAGTCGGGTTGCAGGAACACACGGGATGGAGGAGATTCTATTCATCCAGATCTCAACAGTTCTGGCCCTTTCTGTGTATATGTGGTATACCGGAGCTTCAAGAAACCTCCCAGCTAACATGAGAAGCGCCCACATTGATGGAAAAAAAAATCGATGTTTTGTGGGTTCATCCTTTTTTGTTCAAGAAACCAATGACTTTAATTTATACAAGTTGGCTCGGAATGTTGATATTTGTTTATATAGTCTCACCCAGGCTATTGACGGAAGTGGTTGATGAGAAGAATGAGGTCAGAAAACAGTGCCTTAGCTGTTATATATAAATGAATTGAGTGATACTGGCACCAGCTACCAAATTGAATCGCAAATCAAGGTGTGCGAAGCTTATTCCTTTGGAGTCCCGCTACAGGCAGGTTCTGTCCCATGTGTTTTCAATCAATTCATCGATATATATAGTTATATATAATTGTTTATATAGTTGTTTATATAATGAGTCAAACTGCACATGTTGATATATAGAGTCCTATATACACATGTCAATTAATGAGCCAACCCGCACTCAAAAAACGCCATTTGCAGGGTGCTGCAGAAAGAGCTTGGCTTGGAGGAAGAAAAGGCCAAGCCGAAGACCACGAAGGCAAAGAAGGACAAAGGTGCATCTGGGTCAAAGGCACCCAAGAGCAAAAAGGAGCCCAAGTCCAGTAAGGGCAACCGTACCAAAGGTGCACGTGCCACGAAGCCGAAAGGAACCAGACGCCAAAAGGGGAACGGTTCCGGCCCTGCTGAGCCCACTGAAGCTCCTGTTGCTGCTGAATCCAGCAAGCCCAAGGCCAAGCGAACCAGAAAGGCCTAGGCATCGATGTTGGATCCACTTGCCAATTCAAGTTCTGAATGGTATATTCTCCATGTCCATCATATATATATATATATATATCAAATTATATATATACAATTAATTCTATATATTGAACGGTTTCAATCAGTAAACCCAATTTCAAAGTGAAGATTGTGTGAACATGTTGTAGCAATTCTTTTGGTGGAACCAACATGTTCGAATGCCTGTTATGTTTTGGGATTTTTGACCATGTGATGAACACATGGGAGAGTCATGTCAAATTCCATGCACTTGTGAATATATGTCGGGGAAACAGGTTATGTTGCATGTGGCTTACCACAGCACATGCCTGGCGGGCCAAGTGCCACAAGCGTAGACCAACTTACAGCTGGTAAAATAGTTTGGGCCTTGAGGTGAATCCGAGAGCTTATATAAGAACCCAAGAACATATATGAATAAAAACAAACAGTTCATGAATAAAACCATGCATTCTTGGGAGTCTACGTCTACGCAGCTTTGAAAACACACCCAATTCCCACACAGCCAGGTCCCTCGCAAAAGGCGTGGCATCTCGCTTGGAAATATGGCAGGGGTGTGTCTTGGCAGCATACTTGAATTGGCATACCCTTGAAACATATATAACTCTTTTATTGGCTTTGGGGTCCACAAGTCAAGTTGTTCACCCTTGGAATTGGTGCCATATCAACACATGGAATTGATCCAGAAAACATGCATGATAAGTATTTGAAATGGAAAGGTGGTCCATGCATGTGTTAATTCAAATTAAAAGTTTAGTTTGTTCAGTGTTTGTGGTTTTGAGCCATACCAGCCCAGGAGAAAGGCTGCGAACTTATCGACTTTGCGGCAGCGGAGCTGCGTGATGTGAAGAGTGGGCACCATTCTGCAATGACATGTCCTGTCCTTTCTGCCCTAGCGGTTGCTGACCGACGAAAAGCTGACCCTGGGATTACTTGATCTATAAATGTGACATGAACTATTTACCCTGGATATATATTAAAAGGAGCAAAGCTAAAGGGGTTCCATCAACTTATATATAGAAAACGTCAATTCCATTTCATATACCACCACCAGCCACCAGCCACATAAGGAAGAAGCAGTTACTTCAGTGTTCCGCTTGAACAACTTCTACTATCCCGTCGAATTGACATGGGAAAAGGATGCGCCACTGTCTGGATTTGTGTGGATCAGACCCTCCAATTTTTTACAGGCAATGAGCAAAATGAATGACTTGGATCATGTACTGGGTGGAGTGTCTCTGAAAAATGCAGAGCTGAGATTGACAACGTTTTGGCAACGCTACAGAACTCTTTTTCCAAAACACCAAGTCTTTTCACACATGGATGCTGGTCGATTGCCCATGAACAGATGCATACCCTTGTTCCTGCATGGTGACGAAGGAGTTACCTACCGGAAGGATGGCCTTTTGGTGGTGTCATTCCAGGGTATTTTTGGCACTGGGACATCAAAAAAGCCACCCTCGGCTGACCACTACAAGAGCACCAGTGCTGGGATTCCACTCAATTTCTTGAGAACTGGCGTCCAGACTCGATTGCTGATTTGTGTATGCCCGAAGGATTGCGTTTTAGGGTTCAAATAGTTTTGGTTATATAGTTCATGCCTTGAAATCAATTTAGCTGACATGTATCAATCAGTTATATAGATTTAACATGTGTGCACGCATACATCCAGCCCTGAACAGGAACTTTATGCAGAAGATCCACGAGTTTGGAACGCGATCTTCGAACTGATTGTCCAAGACTTCAAGAAGTGCCAGCTGGATGGTGTGCCTGTTGGATCTTCCGGTGATAAGATTTTTCCAATTATCTTGGGAAACAAAGGTGATTGGAGCTACCTGGAAACTTGAAGGTGTTTTATCACATGCTTTGTTTTTATACATGAAGCCATGCATGTTGTATATATATCGAGGTTTTTTTTTTGTGTGTGTGTGTTTGGACCATCTGCAGTTTCAAATCTATTGGTTCATTTTCTTGAGAATTTATTACTGTTGAGGATTTGCATGCATGATGCGCAACAAAGGTAGGAAGCGCTAACTTGGAGCGCTCATACAGGCGAGCGCCAAAAGGTGCTGGCCAAGGTGGCGATTTTCAAGTCGAAGGTGGAGGTGTTTGTCACCTATGTCTTTGCGGGCAAGGTACAGATTGGGAAAATCTGACACTTTAAGAATTACTATGCAGCATTTATTTCCATGAATGTTTGGTTTTTGCTTTTTGCCTTATTCTGTTTTTGGCTGCGGGTTATTCGAATCCACATGGTGTTGATCCCAAAAGGCACATGTTTAATTGGAAAAACTTCCATCCCTCAGGAAAGAAGCAGAAAAGGCCATGGATGAGGCATGTGAGGTCCCAATCCCAGTGCCCTGGAGTCGAGAGGGGCCAATGACAAGAGAACTTTTCCATGATGCTGCAGTCAACGGAAAGGCCAGGTTCCATCTGATTGATTTGTGGCACAGTGTGCATTTGGGAGTGGGAAAGACGTGGGTAGCAAGCGGAGTGATGATGCTGCAGCAACTATTGCCAGACACTGCTGTGGACCGGCGGGTGTTACTTCTTGGGGCAGACTACAAGGACTTTTGCCGTCGGATGAAAATGAACGCAATCCTGCGCAAAGTTGATCTGAGCACCTTTGGAACCACCAGTGAACCGATTGGGGCATGGAACAAAGCGGCCATCACATCCAACTTTTTCTTGTATCTCGAAGACTTCTGTGAGAGGCACCATGAGGAGATTCAAGTGGATGAACGCATGCGCATCTTTGTTTCTTGGAGATAGCTTAACACATGTTCAAACTATACAATTTGTTAAATTGGGGTGAACTCAAGTGATTTGATGTCTTGTTTGGAATGTTTGGGGGAACCTGCATTTAACTCATGGAGTTTAGACAGCCCAAGTTGTTTGGGGGTTAGCTTTGTTTGCCTTCAGGCAGCTGGGACAAAACGGCTCAACTTCTTTTGGCGTGGGGTCTACTCAAATGATGTCTTGGTGGAAAGTTCGCTGGGTGCATCTTTGGCCAGTGCACTTTACGACTTTGTCAAAGCGTATCTATGGCAGGCTCATGCAGCCTATGTCAGAGGTCTTTCCCACTTTGCTTTGTTCCCGAAACTTCATGCCATTCATGAAGTGGCTCATGAAATGAGGCGTCAGTCAAAAGCATCAGCTTGGATCGTAAATCCAGCGGCACATACGTGTTCCCTGGACGAGGATTTCATAGGCCGCACAGCGGCAGTGAGCCGCTGTGTGTCGCCGCGAGCAATCCCTTTAAGGTTGCTACAGCGGTACTTAACCCATATCCAGATCGCTTGGTCACGTGGTTACCAGGGAGAAGAAAGATAAAAAGCGCAGTGGAGGGTGAACTGGTGGCATGTAAGGTTGATGTAACCCAGCTATTGTTGATATATGCATGCAATATGGAGAACATATATATAAGCTAATTTTTATAAGGTATTGTGGATAAACAATCACAATATAGCAGAATATAGCAGAATTACATGAAAATGCATGATATATGCACAAACCATCAGGGACGTGAAAAACCGTTCAACCAATGCAAGGGGCGTGAAATACCGTTCAGGGTCGTGAATGTTGCCAAAATCACCCAAAAGCTTGCTTTTAGCATCTGGGTCAACAATTTGTATCTATCCAGGGTAGCAGGTAGGCAATACCATGCAAAACCCACCTCACTAGTTGAGGCTTTTGTTGTTCAATGTTCATGTTGTTGCCCCAAAGATATTTCGTCCCACAGCTCTGTCTGTCCGGCCTATTCTGTGCCAATTTCGGCTTGTGATGTTTGGCACAGCCAGATGGCGCAGTCAGTGTGAACAGATAGGCGGCAGGAAAATGTCGGCTTGTTCTTTGCTTGTCCGCTTCTTGCATTGACTGTTGCATATTTCTGGGCCACTGAGAATCATTTGAGATGCACACTCCATCCAGCTTCAGATCTTGGAAGTTCGAACACTGTGTGACAAGTTCGGCATAGATTCAACCCTCTTGCAAGGTGGGTAACTGGTGCGCTGGGCTTCCAGAACGATTTCATTTCTGGAGTGATGCTTCAATCTTACTTTTCAGTCTCGCACATTTTTCTCAGCACTCAAGTTTACCCTTGCAGGGTGTGATTCCGAATGATTCATAGAAGCCTCATTCATAGTAGATACTATAGTATATAGTAATTAATAGCTTAAGTAATAGCTTTCAATCGCATCATTGATTTTAATTACTTGGTTCAGAGAGGTCCAACGTTGGGAGCGAGAAGAAGAACGTGCAGGCCTACGAGGCCATGAATGCGTGCGAAGCTACATAGCAACACATAGCACCCGTTGCACCACTAGTTGTTTTGTGTTGTTTTGTGTCGTTTTTGATGTTTTTAGCAACTTGTTTGGGTAAGCTGGAGATATCCTTTTGACCCTGGTGTGAAATCGAGCGCAGGTCGTGGAAGCGGAGGTCTGCGGCTTTGTTCTTCTGATCCTCTTGCAAGAAACTGCGGGTCGAATTGGCAAGCAGATGAGAGAGGGCAGAACATGCGACACACTTCATACACACACCCAAATTCACTAGCATCGCTAGCATCTGAACAGGACGGGTCTTTGTCCATCGTGATGCCCAGCTGAACGGTGAGTTTAGGTTGACGCAGAATGTCCACATAGGATCTAGATTTATAGTAGATTATAGTAGATGAGGTGAGACCCTATGCCAGGAGTCGCCGTGTGCAAAGACCTATTCAGAGCTTGAAATACGGAGGTTCAACCCGGTATGGATGAATATGGTCTATAGGTTGTAGATCCTCATGGAGCAGCTCGACTGTTCCACATGCCATAGAAATGAAAAAGAAGGGCTCTCAGCCGTTACTTTTCACATGTTCAACCAGAAAGGGCAATGTTTGCTGGGATGGGTTTTGTCACACGCGAAGGAACCCTTTTTTGGGCTCATATGAAGCAGCTTTACAAGCAACATGGCCAGAATCATGATGAATGATGGTAGAAAAGAGAATGCTTTATCATTTCATGAATGTTTTCGGGCTGGCGGTGTCGTTTTAATGACGTAAGAGAGTGGTTCTGAGTACTTTGCATGCAAAAGGCAAAGCAAAGGATGGGAGTGGTTAATTATCATGCTCGCAGCAGGTAAGAAGTAGTGGACACTGCTTCTGTTTGTTTACCCACTTTCCAAAGAGCCGAAGAGACCAGTGCTGCTTTGGACGTCTGTGTAGCTGAACGCGGTGCAGCGCAACCGCTCATTCCCATGGCTGCTGCTGCGCACAGCTTTTCACCGGATGTCGAAGCAGCCCAAAGCTCAGCAGATACAAAAATAATTCAAAAATACTGGTCATAGAGTGAATCAGTTTTTTCCCAATGTTTTGCCCTTGACACTTTGACATGCGCAATCTTTCGAGAATGCCTACCCAGTGTTCTCTCTCTCTCTCTCTTTCTATATGAATATAATAATTGAATATAGATATATATATTATTATTATACTACATTATATACAATTATCCTATAAAAGTTATGTCAAAAATACCCTATAAATCCCTATAATACCCTACTAGCACCACTAGCACATTAATATATTTATATGATATACATTAATGATCATTAATTAATTAGATTCCTCAGGTTTGCCTTTCATCTCTGGTGTCTGGGTGTGGCATATTATATCCCGGTCCCATCCGATTTGATGGCAAGGCTTTGGCCAAGCAGCCTGGTCTCAAGGCAAGCTTGGATGAGGCAAGGACTCCTTTTCACCGGAGTCTCTTCATCTCTTTTCAGTGTGAACTCTTCAAACATCTTCAAACTAAGCCGCAGGCATCATGGATCACAATGGATCATTGGGGTGTGAATTTGATTTCTGGAAGCTCCATGCTATCACTGGACAAACCATTGACCCAATTTTCTGGTCTGATGGCTGAACTCGCAGTTGATGTCGTTCTTGCAGTTGCTGTCATTCCTTGCATGGCAGAGCACACTTGATTGAGCTCGGAATTGCAGCCATTTGACCAGCAATCAAACAGTCTTCAACTTGGCTTGCTTGGACAGTCTGCAAGATGTGCCCAACGTAGCTTTCCAGACTTCAGAGTCAACCTTTCTCAAGCTGCATCCGGCAAGGCTTTCATGCAACTGCAGAAACTAGACAAACCGTTTGAACCGCAGGGGTGAAAGACCCTGCAAAAACTGATTGCCATGCCCGAACACCTTCGAGTATTCGTAGCTTTGGTTATTATCTCATCGGCTGCAGACGTTAAAATCAAAAAGCCCCTTGGCTGCGGGTGGAAAGCAGTTTTCTAGAAAAAGGACCCAAGTTGAAGAGTGAACAACGTTTTGAAGGTGCTTTGATTCGGGCATTGTGCAAGGCAAACCCGTTTTTTAAATATATTAAGTGGAATTTGTGTTTGGCCAAGGAACTGGCAAGATCTGTGGCGTGGTGACCTGAACAAGTGTGTGGCGGACAACGCCAAGCTGTTCAAAGACGCATTCGGCAAGCCACGAACGAGGAGATCAGCACGTGTGTTTTGTCTGTTGCATGATGTTGCATGTGACTATGTTTTTTGATGCATTTGTCAATTCCTGCTGTGCACTGAACACCTGTGCCAGCCAGGAAGCTGGGAGAGATGACAAGACTGATCAGCGACGAGATCGCTGGCAAGATCTCAAAGGATTCGAAGGATTCGAAGGTCAACGCTCCAAGTCCCACCTCGGCGAAGCCAGCGAAGTTATCAAAAAAGGAACGTATGAAGCAAGAGCTGAAGCAGCAGCTCAATGGCGACCTGCGAACTGTTTTCCAAGATATGGAGTCTGCGAAGGACAAAACCGATTCTTGGTTGCAAGTGAGCAATGCAGACAGGTGCATACACTGAGCAGGATTTTATTGTTTCGCTTTGCCAGGTCAAACTGACATACTGACATTAGCGGCAAACAATTCAGCAAGCACAGCAGCTTCAGCAGCAACCGCTGGTCAAGAGTGTTACCTCTTTATCACTGTAACTTTTATTAGTGGCGGCCTGTACGAATGGGATCCAAGGCATACTATCAGCGAATCAGGGAGCAGGGTGAGCAAATGATCCTTCAGATGTCCAGGCTACTCACCTAGTCGTTGCAAGTTATGGCAGACCTAACTGTGTTGCTGCATTGCGACTCTTTGGGAACTGTTTATGTTTCATGCTTTGCCCAGTGTAGCATCGTGAGGCAATCCAAATTGCCCTTTGACACAGACCTCACCTTGCGGGAGTGGTGCTTCGCTCATTCTGTTTTGATCTTCTTTGTTCAATTCCATGCATGCAAAAGGTAGCTGAGAGCAATGTAGCATGACCAACTATGCATAATATCAAAAGATCAGGTTCCAGTTCCGGCATTTTTTCTTGGCATCATGCATATTCTTGCGGGGAGGAGGAAAGTCCGGAAATTTGCTGCAGGTGTGATCTTGTTTGGCGTTCCGGGCGATTCTCTCCCCTGGACCAGGACTGCCGGACGAACATGCAGACAATGACTGACAATCACTGAAAAAAAATAATGATTATATATAATGATTGAAGCCAGTGTTTTTCCAACTATTGATTGATTCAACTGGAGACAATTTGCGGACAACTGTAAATTCTGTATTAGAATTTCAGCGATGAAATGAGAACCATTTGAATCAAAGCTGGCTGCCACATATGCACACAATTGCACATGGTAGGACAAGCCCAAGAAAGTGGATGACTCTGACATATTCGACCTTCAGGATGCTGAGGATGCTGAGGCTTGGTCCCTGTAGATTTATGAATGATTTAAGACTTTAAGACCTCAGCCTTGTTTTTGCTTGAGTCGGTGGGCTTACTTGATTCATAGTGTTCTATGCTTTTATATTGTTTTATATCGATCCGGCCCATAATGTGCCAATGGACCGACGGACTACTATATAATTGGTTTGACATGACGTTCTGCTGTTTTATTGTGTTTTTTTGATGAAGTGATCGTTTTGCATGGGTCTCTGCAAGATTCTGCAAGCAGGAAAGCCACACCAAAGCTTCTCATCCAAAAGAGCTCTGAGACTGATGCCCATTGAAAAGTTGTTCTCAGTCTATCTCAGTCTCAGTCTCGCAGACTACTACGGATCCCTGGATCTTCCTTGCTGGAGCTGACAAAGCTTTCCGTTATCTTGCCGTCGAATGCAGAGCCATTTGGATTTCTGGACAGCAATTCGGGCATTGGAGTCGGGTGTTTGAATCGTGTGCGTCCTTTTTCGATGTGCTCGTGTCAATTCCGATATTTCCGGCGATTTCGAGCGGCTACGCCTGAGCAGACTGCACAGTGTCACACGAATCGACAAATGCTGGACCTGTTGAATCCAGATCGAGACTCCGGTTCAAGAGGCCGTTGAGATGAACTGTTCCTTCTACAAAAATGCCGCCAATGCTGCATGGGACATCATGGGACTGGCAAATCTGGGTCGATCTGCAGCTGTGCAACCCAGGCTGAATGGTCCTGTGAGGTTGAAATTGTTATCACACAACGAGCTAAGAAGGACTCGTAGAGTCGTAGAGGCAACAGGTTGGATGGTTTGGCAGACAGTCCGCTTCTAGACAGACCGTCTTTGGCCACTTCTCTACAGCGAATGGTTCCTTGGTAGGACTGGGCAGGCGGTCAGAAAAAGCAGACCTGGAGCTGCCAAGTTTGCATTGTAGATAGGTGGTGAAATGATGGTGACTCAAGTGCATTGCATGCTGCCAGTTTTTTTGGAAGCTACCTTGTAGATTCGAAATCGCTACTTGTATGTCATCGTGCTTGAAATATGTTAAATTCTATGGTTTTGACTGCCATATTTGCTGTAGTCGGACACCTTTTTGTCATTACCATCATTGACACGAGTGAGACCGAGACAATGCAATCTGTGAGTGAATTTAGACGAACTTGTGACATTAGCGTAAGATTAGCGTAGGTTGTAAACAACTAGACGACGGATGGCCCGAGAGCGTAGAGGAGCAGGGTCTTCTCTTGTTAGTATGGAGACACAATTTTACAAACAATATATGAAAGATGTGTTATAGGCAGTCGAGAAGAGAAGTAGCAAGACAAAATAGTGAGAAGTGCAAGACAATAGTTTGCACCGCAAACACTTTTACACACAGACGCTTTTACACACAAAAGTTTTTACACACAGAAGCTTTTACACACAGAAGCTTTTACACAGAGGCTATTACACACAAAGCTGTTACCCACAGAAGCTTTTACATACAGACGCTTTCACACACAGATGTTTTTACACACAGACGCTTTTACACGGACACTTTTACACACAGACATGTTTACACACAGACACTTTTACACACAGACCTTTTTACAGACAGGAGCTGCTTTTACACACAAACGCTTTGACACACAGAAGCTTTTACACATAGACGCTTTTACACACAGGCACTTTTACACACAAACACTTTTACACACAAACACTTTTACACACAAACACTTTTACACACAGACGCTTTTACACGCAGACGTTTGTACACACAGAAGCTTTTACACACAAACACTTTTACGCAGAAACACTTTGACACACAGACGCTTTTACACACAGACGGCTTTACACACAAGCGCTTTTACACACAATCACTTGTACACACAGACGCTTTTACACAGAGGCCGGCCCAGGTAGTCACAGCGAAGTCATCGTTGTCGTGGCGACCTCAGCAATCCGACGGGGTGGTGTGGCGAAGTCCTATTTCCATGTGCCTCGAAACCAGCATGTATAAACATGTCATGCGGGCTATGTGCTTTGGGGCCCCTCCACAGACAGCTCCAGCTCAGAAGCTAAAGCCTTCAATGCATTGATCCCTAGTTTGCGCACCTGGCGCCGGAAGAGATCAACTCCTCCCTCTGTCAAGCCTTGTTGCAACTCTCGGAGCTTCTCGGACATTTCCGGTTGACGCGAACCCAGAGTAACAACGTATACAGGCAAAGCGCGATACGAATCTCGAACCAAAAGCTGCGCCGACCAGCTTCATGCTTTGACGAACAAACGGAACACAAGCTTGCAGTGGAAACTCGCAAAATCAAGCGGTTTTACCAAAAGCTAGCTGCAAAACATCAAATGACTGCCACACACTGACATCCCCAGCTCAGAAGCTAAAGCCTTCAATGCATTGATCCCAAGTTTGCGCACCTGGCGCCGGAAGAGATCAACTCCTCCCTCTGTCAAGCCTTGTTGCAACTCTCGGAGCTTCTCGGACATTTCCGGTTGAAGCGAACCCAGAGTAACAACTTATAGAGGCCAAGCACGATACGAATCTCGGACCAAAAGCTGCGCCGACCTGCTTCATGCTTTGACGAACAAACGGAACACAAGCTTGCAGTTGAAACTCGCAAAAATCATGCAGTTTTACCAAAAGCTAGCTGCAAAACATCGAATGACTGCCACACACTGACATCCCCAGCTCAGAGGCTAAAGCCTTCAATGCATTGATCCCAAGTTTGCGCACCTGGCGCAAAATCATGCGGTTTTACCAAAAGCTAGCTGCAAACCATCGAATGACTGCCACACACTGACATCCCCAGCCCAGAAGCTAAAGCCTTCAATGCATTGATCCCAAGTTTGTGCACCTGGCGCAACATCATGCGGTTTTACCAAAAGCTAGCTGCAAAACATCGAATGACTGCCACACACTGACATCCTCAGCTCAGAAGCTAAAACCTTCAATGCATTGATCCCAAGTTTGCCACCTGGCGCAATATCATGCGGTTTTACCAAAAGCTAGCTGCAAACCATCGAATGACTGCCACACACTGACATCCCCAGCCCAGAAGCTAAAGCCTTCAATGCATTGATCCCAAGTTTGCCACCTGGCGCAATATCATGCGGTTTTACCAAAAGCTAGCTGCAAACCATCGAATGACTGCCACACACTGACATCCCCAGCCCAGAAGCTAAAGCCTTCAATGCATTGATCCCAAGTTTGCCACCTGGCGCAATATCATGCGGTTTTACCAAAAGCTAGCTGCAAACCATCGAATGACTGCCACACACTGACATCCACAGCTCAGAAGCTAAAGCCGTCAATGCATTGATCCCAAGTTTGCGCACCTGGCGCCGGAAGGGATCAACTCCTCCCTCTGTCAAGCCTTGTTGCAACTCTCGGACCTTCTCGGACATATGCGGTTGCAGCGAACCCAGAGTAACAACTTATAGACGCCAAGCGCGATACAAATCTCGAACCAATAGCTGCGCCGACCAGCTTCATGCTTTGACGAACAAACAGAACACAAGCTTGCAGTTGAAACTCGCAAAAATCATGCGGTTTTACCAAAAGCTAGCTGCAAAACATCGAATGACTTCCACACACTGATGACAACATGCAGCAGGCCTCCAAAATCTCCAAAGACGAGCACCACGGCCACCAAAAGAAGCTCTGGAAATGCTTACAGTCATGTTTGCTCGGACAGTTCAGGGGGGAGCAGGGTCTTCTCTTGTTAGTATGGAGACGTAATATTAGAAACGATATATGAAAGCTCTGTTATAGGCAGTCGAGAAGAGGAGTATCAAGACAGGATAGTGAGAAGTGCAAGACAATAGTTTGCATCGCAAACACTTTTACAAACAGACGCTTTTTACACACAGACGCTTTTCCACACAAAGCTTTTACACACAGAGGCTTTTACACAAACACTTTTACACAAACACTTTTACACACAGAAGCTTTTACATGCAAACACTTTTACACACAGATGCTTTTACACACAAACGCTTTGACACACAGACGCTTTTACACACGGACGCTTTTTACACACAGACGCTTTTTACGCACAGACGCTTTCACACACAAACACATTTACACACAGAGGCTTTTACACACAAACACTTTTACACAAACACTTTTACACACAGAAGCTTTTACACACAGACGCTTTTACACACAGACGCTTTGACACGCAGACGCTTTTACACACAGACGCTTTTACACACAGAGACTGTTTACACACAGATGCTTTTTACACACAGGCGCTTTTACACACAGACAAGAACGGCACAAGTAAAATCGCAATTTCAGTTTTTGCCTCGAGTGCGAAAGGGTTTTGCAATTTCACCTCAGTTTTTGCCGATCGACCCTCATTTCGTGCGAAAGGGTTGCTCCGGCACAAGTAAAATCGCAATTTTACCGCAGTTTTTGACGATCGACCCTCATTTCGTGCGAAAGGGTTGCTCCGGCACAAGTAAAATCGCAATTTTACCTCCGTTTTTTGCCGATCGACCTTCATTTCGTGCGAAAGGGTTGCTCCGGGGCAAGTAAAATCGCAATTTTACCTCAGTTTTTGCCGATCGACCTTCATTTCGTGCGAAAGGGTTGCCGTAGCACAAGTAAAATTGCAATTTTACCTCAGTTTTTGCCGATCGACCCTCATTTCGTGCGAAAGGGTTGCTCCGGCACAAGTCAAATCGCAATTTTACCGCAGTTTTTGCCGATCGACCCTCATTTCGTGCGAAAGGGTTGACGTTTCGTGACTCGCCGCCGGCACCACCCTCGGCCTTAAGAGAGAAAGATAAAAAGAAGGCGTGAGAGAGAAGGTGAGCAGGTGTGAAGATAAGAAGATGTGAAGATGAGCAGATGTGAACATGAGCAGATGTGAAGATGAGCAGATGTGAAGATGAGCAGATGTGAAGATGAACAGATGTGAAGATGAGCAGATGTGAAGATGAGCAGATGTGAGGATGAGCAGGTGTGAAGATAAGAAGATGTGAAGATGAGCAGATGTGAAGATGAGCAGATGTGAAGATGAGCAGATGTGAAGATGAGCAGATGTGAAGATGAGCAGATGTGAAGATGAGACGATGTGAAGATGAGCAGATGTGAAGATGAGCAGATGTGAAGATGAGCAGATGTGAAGATGAGCAGATGTGAAGATGGGAAGCTGTGAAGATGAGCAGATGTGAAGATGAGAAGATGTGAAGATGGGAAGGTGTGAAGATGAGCAGATGTGACGATGAGCAGATGTGAAGATGAGCAGATGTGAAGATGAGCAGATGTGAAGATGAGAAGATGTGAAGATGAGAGGATGTGAAGATGAGCAGATGTGAAGATGAGAGGATGTGAAGATGAGATGTGAAGATGAGAAGATGTTTTACAGACCCCCACTATTGGAAGAACCCTGCGCTCAGACGCTCTCGGGAAAAACCTAAACCTATAGTACTATATAGGGCATCACATGGCAGCACTTTCTTCGCAGCTTACAGACATTTGCATACCAGGCGGCTTTACAATCCCTAGCAAGGGCCGACCCCACCCGGGCTGCGCAGGCTGGTCGGCCTTAATGCCCCAAACAATGCGCATCCGTCACCTATCATCACCTTCTGATGGTTTCTGCCTCGCCAGGTGGTGGAGGACCTGACCATGAAGGCTGATGTCCCACACACAGAAATTCTGTGAAATTGAGACTGCACCGATCCATATAGCACCGATGTTTCATACTATTTTGTCCATTTTTGTCCCTGGTTCCTGGCCGAGACAATCATTCCGAAACAATGCTGCATGTCACGTTGACAATTTATTTTGACCAGTCGCTTGTTCTCACTGTATAACCGAGGCTTTCACTGTCAACTAGAGATCTCATTGTTGATTGTTGACTCGTGCATTGTACGAGCAACTTAAGGTTCGGAACCCCTCAGCCTTCATTTCTTCTACACTGGCACAGGCAGCTTCCAGTTGATGTATTGCGATATTGTATGATATGGTGATTGACACATGTTTACATGTTGACAACATGTGATTGTATTCTGACTGCTTTCAGAACCCGGCGCTTCGGACAAGCACTGGCGTTGGCTCGGCAGAGCTGGGGGCCCTGTGAGTTTTCAGAGAATGTCCATGCCACATGTGTCTGGCATTGAGCGCATTAAGTCTGGTTTGGGGCTGGCATCGCCACGATGACTCTCATAACTCAAAACTATGATATATGATTATATATATATACATACATGTGCGTGTGTGTGTGTGTGTAACATCTTAATAGATGTAAAACTTTTCTCTTTTTCTTCCTTCTGTCCTCTCCCTTTTTAAACCTAGTAGCAGGGGGCACAGGTGTGACTCTGGTTCCTGTGCCAACGAAGACGGCCAGATGTCACAGTGATATCAAGGGGAGACGTCCCTTTGACGTACCTGCCAACAATGTTTGTTTCTTTTTCCGATATGGGAAGAGGCTCAACCCAAGAACCTCCACGACGTCGTCCATTTGAAACTTCAATTTACTGCACTGTTGTCGCAATCTGGAATCAAATTTGGTCATTTACGATTAGTTCTGCTGCATCAGAACCTTCCTCAGTATTTTCGCCGAAACCATGTGGCCGATAGTATTTTTGATTTTCTGGATTATTTCGGCGAAACCTGTCGCCGATGTATTTGGGGTATTTCTTCAAAACCACGTCGCCGATTTATTTTTGATGACGATCTTGGACATGGAAATCATTCAGGTGAACTTCTATTATTCGTAGGATGCATCGTTAATTTCGTTGTTTCATATCTAATCTGCATGTTTCAGGATTCAGTTCCTGCCGGATCATATAATGATCCATTCTTGTCTAGTGTGATTCCTATGGTGACTCCGACATGGTGCCATAGGGCCAATTGAGGCAACCCTGTTTAGGGTGAATGTCGGCTGACCTGAATTCTGAATTCACACATTTTAACTTAGTAATTCGTTTACGTAAAGTGCAACAGATGGCCTTGCGGTTTATCAGCCATTTTGAGATCTCCTGCTGCTCCGGATGTCCCAGGGATCCCAGTGATCTGCGCTCTTTCTAGTGAAGCTGCTCTGAACTGCCTGAAACCTCCGTTTTTTGCAGCTATTTTCGACACTCACATGACTTCATGGCATGACAAGGAATAAAGGCAGGTTCACGCCTTCCAGGTTTGGTCTCTTTCTTTTGGTTGTCTGGTGAGGTGAAACATGTTGTGCACCTAATTCGCTGGACTTTGAAAGCTGTTATATGCCAATTGGGGCAAGACTTGACCACGGTCCCGGTGCAGGGAATAATCGCACGACCTTTAGGTTTAGGAACTGAATCCTGTTTTTAAATGTTTTTAATTAATTGTTTTGGTTTTCCTGTCTGTCATCAACTAGTCCCCCATTTGGTCCCTAATTTCCCCGCGTGCCTCTCCGTAATGTGTCGTGGGGTTTAGGTGTGTGCGCTGTTTTGATCAGGTCCGTTTCGCCGTGTAGGTTGGTTCCGGAGGTCCGTCTGTTCCCCTCCCCCCCTGCGCTGTTTTTGGCCGTTTGCCCTTCGTGTGTCCGCTTTTTTCTTCCTCTTGCCTTTCCGGGTTGACCCGGCTCTGGCCGGGTGTGTGTGTGTGTGTAACATCTTAATAGATGTAAAACTTTTCTCTTTTTCTTCCTTCTGTCCTCTCCCTTTTTAAACCTAGTAGCAGGGGGCACAGGTGTGACTCTGGTTCCTGTGCCAACGAAGACGGCCAGATGTCACAGTGATATCAAGGGGAGACGTCCCTTTGACGTACCTGCCAACAATGTTTGTTTCTTTTTCCGATATGGGAAGAGGCTCAACCCAAGAACCTCCACGACGTCGTCCATTTGAAACTTCAATTTACTGCACTGTTGTCGCAATCTGGAATCAAATTTGGTCATTTACGATTAGTTCTGCTGCATCAGAACCTTCCTCAGTATTTTCGCCGAAACCATGTGGCCGATAGTATTTTTGATTTTCTGGATTATTTCGGCGAAACCTGTCGCCGATGTATTTGGGGTATTTCTTCAAAACCACGTCGCCGATTTATTTTTGATGACGATCTTGGACATGGAAATCATTCAGGTGAACTTCTATTATTCGTAGGATGCATCGTTAATTTCGTTGTTTCATATCTAATCTGCATGTTTCAGGATTCAGTTCCTGCCGGATCATATAATGATCCATTCTTGTCTTGTGTGTGTGAATTGATATGACCATTCCGCCGTCCCGACGCATTTTGGGTGAAGGAGTATCCAAGAACTACTCCGCCCTCATCCAGACTTGCAAAAGGCCTGGATGGTCCGTCAGAGAGTACGGTGAGTACGATGTAAATTTTATATTTTGGAAGCACGTAAACTGCAAACTTGGAGCTGCAGGCATTGGATGAGGGTGCAATGAAGCGCCTTGCAGAGGTGTACTTTGATGATAGCCAGAATTTCGCCAACAATTGATAAAGGTATATAGATAGAAGAAAGAAATTTCGCAGATTGCATGGTTGTAGAAATCACAATGCACATGGCAGCAGTGGTGTTTTGGGGTCTTTGTATGTGGTTGATTCAGGGCCCGAGTTCCCACAGGTATTGTCGTGTGTGCTTGATGCTTTGCAGGTGGGTTTGCAACGAGCCACTGAACTGATTGATGAGCTGATTAAGCGTCCGGATGTCACTTGCAAGCAGGTAGCTGTCACACATGTTTCGCGATTGAGTGATACTATGGTAAACAGCTGTAAATGCTGTACTGCTGGTGGGGGTGGCCTCACCATTATAACATTATAACGATTCATATCAGCTCTGGGCTAATCAAGCCACAGTTTACTACTAGGCCTCCCCCCAATGTTATTAATCCGGGGTTGACGCTACACAAAATGGTTCATTTTCATCACCCAGCACAGGGCTGAAGGATTTGGAGGGTCCTCAGATGTGCCTCACCAACAGTGTTACCAACAGTCAGGCAAAAACCTTAAAACTTGCTGGGCTAAATAGGTGCATCCTAGTGTCCTAGTCTAAGGTGCGAAATCCATCCGCTTTTGTGGTGCATGCACTGAGCAGGCAGGAGGGTTTGACGCAGGAAGTAAAAGATCTGAAAGCACAAGCAAAGTCATCCTGTCCAATGGCAGGACAACTGCGGGGACAAATGCTGCTTCTGTGGAGGCTGGAAACGTTGGGATGGCACCTGTCATTGCTGGGCTGTGGCGGACATGACACTTTTCCCGGCAAGCGTTCAAACTCCGCAGTGTCCATCATGGGCTTGATTCGTGTATGTTCTTTTGAAAGCTAATCCGGTTCAACCGCCTACAGGATGTCCTGGAAGCTTTCCCAACGCGCGGGTCTTGACTTTCAACATTCACAGTCTCATCGAGGACTTGTCTAATGTCTGAGTCTAGTTAGTCTAACAGTCTAACCTCTCCATTAGTTCAATCATTATATACAGTGCTGAAATGTTGCAACTGTGCAGGTTTCACAACATGGATGAATATGATTGAATAGATGGATACGTACCATTGGCAGTTCTGCGACAAACTGTGTGGTGCTTTACATCAACCCAGACACGCTAAGGGTGGCAGCGCGTTTAGATGATAGAGCGCAGATGAGGCCACAGTTCTAGCAATTTCTTGCCCATATTCCAGGGCCGAACATATTCCATGCCAAAATAGCTGGGAAATTTCAGGGAATTGCGAAGACCCCTTTCAGGTGAAATTTGATGAAATTTGTATTTCATACAGTTTGCCAAGTACTCCTTTTCTTCTGGCACGTACGTTGTCGACTGCACATGTTCTTCCCCAAAGACGATCCTTACTTTCAACAATTTCTGGAAATGTCATAACCAATAATGTTGAGCTTTCCAAAAATGGATTAATAACGTTCTTATGGGAATTTGTCATCTACACCTTTCAGGATCTCAAAACCCAATTCATAAGCTTTCAGCTTATGTTCTGGCACGCTTGGCTGGCCTTTCACCAGCAGCGCCATCCCCATCTTTCTTGACATCTTTGTGGCCCCGCAAAGAACTCTGCACAACAGGATCTGGGAACACAAATCATCGACGATCCTGTTTTCTTCCGTGCAAAATAATTCCACCGATAGAGTACGATGCCACCCCTGGAGTGCGCTAATTTTCTGGAATGCGAAAATAAAACAGTATGCGTGGCCCCCTTCGGCCCCCTTCGGCCTTCCCCATGGATCCAACACCATGTGTTTTTCATCACATACCAATACATACCAGAAATTTATCACACTCACCCTGCTGAGCTGCTGGACTCCTTTTTTCTTTATTTTCATTTTTGGCCAAAATGGCCTGGAATGCGATAGTATGTGAAACTACCGACGTCTCAGGTGGGAACTCCATCTTCCCCATATTCCAGAATACGTGCTTCCAGGCCATTTTAGCTAAAAAAAAACGAAAAAAACGTTTCATTCACCGAGTGCGCAGATCTTGCCGAGCGCGATGAAGTGACAGTATGTGTACCTCCCCAGCTGTGGAGTGCGATGCCCTGGAGTGCGAAGAATTTGTGGAATGCGAAGAATTCCGAGTATGCGTGGCTGGTATAGAGACCACATAGGGGAATTTCGGGGCCAGAACCAAAATTCCAATCCCAAAGCCAGCCCAAACTTCCAGGGGCACACCAGTGGGTTCTATTTTTCCGAGTTCACCTTGGGTGAGGCCCCGGGGAAGAAACTGGCTAGTTTTTTCTTCAGCCAACCTTTAAAAACGTTACCTTTGACAACCCTCCTTCTTCGGTAGACAAATGAGGAAACTCCCTTATCAAAGCAGCCTTCAATTCATCCAACGTCCACAGCTGCTTCGGAACGACATAGGGGATAGAAAGCTGTGGAGGGGCATTCAGTGGATTCGCCATGGCCCAACTGTTCCCTCCAGATTGAGCTGAAATGCCTATCAAAGTAACATACCAAAACCCAGGTCTGGAGTACGATGAAAACATGGCATGCAAAGATTTTCTGAATATGGGAATGTTGCCTCTAGAACAGTATGCAAGGGATTCAGGGCAAAATGATGCAAAAAGTATCCTGCAGTTTTATGGGCCTGGGAAAGCACCGTTAACAAACTACGGTAACAATTCGCCGTGTTCTCGAGCTGGTGTAGCAGCATAGCTGCACCAACAGCCTAATACAGACTAGCTGCCAGCCAAGCCGCACAACTGCTGATGCACATTTGTTTGCCAGGGTGCGCGATTCTGCTTTGCTCTCAGAAGTGTTTGATTTTGAGCATGAGCAAACTTGTTAGGACATCGTAGCATCGCAAGCATGATATCATTAAGTATAATGATAGTAATGCGATTCAACAATATTTTTTAAAAACCACCACCTCTATCCATGGGGCATGTGGTTTGGCCAGCATTGCAGTGCAGCGATTCTGCTCACAGATGCAAATCGTCCGGGGAAACCATGCCGTTTGTTGAGATGTTTTGGCGTTCCGGACAACTGAGGATCCAGTTCGGGCTAAAGAGATATTGAATGAGATCTTGAACCGTGAAGACCTGCAGAACCCTTCAGCGTTTGTGATGAAGGCCATGCTCACAAGACACTTCAGAAACATGCCCCGAGAAGTTCAGAGTCTGGCATTTTTCCCAATGTGTTTCTTTCTTCACATCCTAGCCTTTGTATCTCTTGCCACCTTTATTGTGAAGTGGTGTTCTTGTAAGTGCTCAAAAATGTGTCCAAAAGGGCGGCCTCTGAGCACTTCGCTTCACAGCGATGTAGAATGAACGCAATCCTTGCGAGCGAGTAAATCAAGCCACTGTTACTGATGATGATGATGATGATGATGATTTTATATATATATATATAGGCCGGGTTATATATATACATATCATATAATGGCGCAAGATACTTGTACTCTGATTGCATGTGATTGCGATATTCAAAAAGCAACAATAACAGAGCAGCAGCGAAAACGGCGCTCTGGATTCAGCGGGTTTATATATATAATACATAATCAGATATATTCAGATTGAATTCAGTATGGCGTGCATGGATAAGCTAATGCGCAGGCTCACGTGTACTCATCCCAATTGGTTCTGATTCGGCACTTTCCCAGCTTGCAGTCTTTGGGTCATTCACGAGAGCGGCACGACGGACACGGACCTACGGGGCTGACAATGCAGGTGCCTGTTGACGTGCTATCTTAGGTTTTCACCGGGTTTGCTAGCTTGCGCTTGCAGCAGAACTTGAATCGGGGATGTTTGTTTCGCAGCAATCTACGAAAGTTGCAGGAACGTGACTACCTAGCAGCCACACAGGCGAGTCTCCTTGGAACGAGCGTGGTTGATTTGTGCGTTTTTGATGTTTTTGGTGCATTTGAGAAACATTTAATGTTGGCTGCCTAATAAACTCACCCTCCTAATTTTTTGAAAATTTTACTTTCTTTTTTAGGTGGGGTCAGCATTCCAATAGTAAATTTGAATCAGATTTCTGGAATCTAAGCTTTTGTTAATGAAAAGTGCTTGCTGCTTTGAAAAGGGTTTTGCTTTACTTTGCTTTCTCCAAACACCTGAAAACAAAACCAGGGGAAGCACAATTGGAATTCATTATTTCCATGCCTGGTGCAGGTTTATTGTTGCTATTCTGGGGCTTGTAAAGGGGATACCCTTTGTGGACCTGTTTTCTTGTTTTTTTAAATAAGGGTTTTATAAGGAAATCAGTTGTTTGGTAATTGGATCAGATTTCTGGAATCTAAGCTTTTGTTAATGAAAAGTGCTTGCTGCGTTGAAAAGGGTTTTGCTTTACTTTGCTTTCTCCAAACACCTGAAAACAAAACCAGGGGAAGCACAATTGGAATTCATTATTTCCATGCCTGGTGCAGGTTTATTGTTGCTATTCTGGGGCTTGTAAAGGGGATACCCTTTGTGGACCTGTTTTCTTGTTTTTTTAAATAAGGGTTTTATAAGGAAATCAGCTGTTTGGCAATTGGATCAGATTTCTGGAATCTAAGCTTTTGTGAATGAAAAGTGCTTGCTGCGTTGAAAAGGGTTTTGCTTTACTTTGCTTTCTCCAAACACCTTAAAACAAAACCACAGGAAGCACAATTGGAATGCATTATTGCCATGCCTGGTGCAGGTTTATTATTGCTATTCTGGGGCTTGTAAAGGGGATACCCTTTGTGGACCTGTTCTCTTGCTTTTTTAAATAATGGTTTTATAAGGAAATCAGCTGTTTGGCAATTGGATCAGATTTCTGGAATCTAAGCTTTTGTGAATGAAAAGTGCTTGCTGCGTTGAAAAGGGTTTTGCTTTACTTTGCTTTCTCCAAACACCTTAAAACAAAACCACAGGAAGCACAATTGGAATTCATTATTTCCATGCCTGGTGCAGGTTTATTATTGCTATTCTGGTGCTTGTAAAGGGGATACCCTTTGTGGACCTGTTTTCTTTTTTTTAAATACTGGTTTTATAAGGAAATCAGCTGTTTGGTAATTGGATCAGATTTCTGGAATCTAAGCTCTGGATACTATACCATGCCCTCTGGACAAGGTCAGAACATGAGTTTTTGCCAATACTAAAATTAAATTAGGCTAATTGACTTTTAGTATTGGAGAAAAAAACTGGAGTTGGGAAAACAAAATCTACTATTGCCATGTTGGGTCTACTATTGGCCATGCCCTCTGGACAAGGTCAGAACACGAGTTTTTTGGCAATACTAAAATCAAATTAAGTTAATTGACTTCTAGTATTCGCAATAAAACTGGAGTTGGGAAAAAAGTAGTTTCTACTATTGACAAGGTATCATTATTGGCTAGACAACATTACTGGGGCGATATTAATAGTTAAAGAAGGTAATAGAAGGTATATACTGTAATTAAAACGTGTTTTCTTATGTGTTCTATCAAAGCCATTTGGAACGTCTAGAACTTCGGAACCTGTCCTGTTTAGTTTCCTATTTCCTTGACACTGATAATAGATAGTATATTAGCATGAGATTGGTTTTGATTTTTTCATATGTTTTGATGTTTTCCATATTTTTTTCAATATTCTTTCTGTGTCCACCTTGGTACACCTTTACTTCGACTGGAAGGCGATCCCAATCGCCAGGTGGAGACACTCCTTTCGGGATATCCGAATTTGCGCTCCCGACTTGATGGCCAGGCAGATCGATATCCAGCGATGCAGATCACATCAGATCACATATATCGTATATCAATGTATATCATATAGATCATGAAAAGATCAAAGGCAGAGATAGGCAGAGCAAACATGGCACCAAGAATCACCAAGATGGCCCTTTGTGTGATATATGAGTATTGTACCGCCATTTGTTGGGATGTTTCTTCTGTTTCTTCTTGCCATGGACTCAGCGAGGCAATCAGAAGGATGAGGGAATCCGTAAGAATCTCAGTCCCAGAATGCTTAATTAATGATGATTGACAGCAGGATGAATTGGAAGCGGTTAAACAGTTGAGACTTTGTTTCGCAGTTTGGTGTGTGTGTGTGTTTGTGCGAGCTGAATCAGTACCAAACTGGACTAAACTTATCTAAACTTATCTAAACTTATCATCTAAACTTATCTAAACTTGCTTGTTGAATCTTATTGATCTTGTTGAATTCAGCTGTGTAGTATCGAATTATGAGTCAGAGGAAGCCAAGAGATCTAAGGACCTGACACGTGTGCAAGAGATTCTCCAGGACTGCTGCTACTGCTGCTGCTTGTTCTCGGAAGACTTTCACAGTTTTTCAAAGTCTCAGAATGTCTACCAGATGACCAGGAAATGGACAGCCGGGGTGATGTCCGAAACCCTTCTGCCTTTGTGGTGAAGGCAGGGGCAATCCAGATATATCATGATGTAATTATCCAGATTCCATAGGGTTCCTTTCGAAGATTTTCGAAGGACGTTTCGGAGAGGCGATGCACTTTATTACTCTTTATTAGACGTATACACTTTATAGGTTCGCATTATTGGGTTCCGTTGTCGAGGCACTGGCTGATCATTCGGCACTGCCGGAGCTCCAAGTTTCAAGATTTGTGGAGGGATCAAAAATAGTAGCTATGTATAGCTCAGTTTCTTGCAATAACAGGATCTGTGAACGGTGTAGCCGCTGTGGTATGTAATTAACCCGGCGTGCCTGTACAGATCTGTCCAGATATCCAGATGAAACAGACATTCAACCGCGCACAGCTCGCTGATTGTTGTGAGTGCCAAGGCGGAGACCCGAAACATCACTGGTCGGAGCAGAACACACGGTGGCAGCACCGGCCCTTCTGGCCGCGCAATACATGCTCGCAGCACAGGCAGCGCAGGCTCAGCTAATGCCGCAACTGGCAATACCTGGCCTGACGGGCCTGACCTCTCAATATTCTCAGCTGGCGGGGCTCTCTGGACTTTCCGGACTCCCTGGGCTGGCAGCATCTCAGATTGCAGGGCTGACAGCACCTCAGATACCTCAGCTGGCAGCAGCTCAACTCGCAGCACCACAGCTGACCCCACCGGGATTCTTCTTGCCATCAGCTGATCCGCTGCAACAGATGCCAGAGACTTAGAAGCATCCTTCGGCATTCCTTCAGCTAGAGGCCAATGGAAAAAGGAACATGTGCACCTCCTTACATTTTACAGATAGTACATCACGCATAAAATACGTATACGTCGTATGTATAATTGATGTACGTATATGTACGTATATCTATTCTGTATATACGTGTGTGTGTGTGCGCGCGCGTGCGCATGTGTTCTGACATATATATATAGATATATTATACATAGATGTTGTTGACGTTGATGTTGTTATTCTGAATGATGATGCTGGTGGTGATGGTGATGGTGATTGTGATGGTTCTGTTGCTAGTGCCGATGATGCTGTTTATGATAGATATCATAAATGTATATATTATACATGATATATTTTTTGAATATATACATACATACATACATACATACATACATACATACATACATACATACATACATACATACATACATACATACATACATACATACATACATACATTACATACATTACGTACATTACGTACATTACGTACATTACGTACATTACGTACATTACGTACATTACATACATTACATACATTACATACATTACATACATTACATACATTACATACATTACATACATTACATACATACATACATACATACATACATACTGTAATTGACCCTCTCTCTCTCTCTCTTCCTCCCTTGCTAATTTTCCACTTGTGTTGGTCCCCCAAAAAAGGCCCCCACAAGTCCCAAAATCTTTCATGAAATGCAGGGAAAACAGTGTTTTTTTGGGACTTGTAGGGCCTTTTTTGGTGAACCAACCCAAGTGGAAATTTACCACCCTCCCTCCCTCTCTCGCCTCTCTCCCTCTCTCTCTCTCTCTCTCGCTCTCTTTTTCTCTCCCTCTCTCTGTCTCCTTGTGCATATGCATGTGTGATCCTGATCCTGTGTGTGTGTGTGGGCGTGCTTCTATTGCGTTCCCTACTTTAGAGAACTTGCGAGAGAGCCTGGGTCAGCATGGCGTTCCATTTGCAATGTGACTCCATGGGTCTAGATGTTTCTACGTAGTTGGAACGATTCCTTTTAGGTAGGCCATACTTTGGCAAAGGAGCTTTGGATGATTTTGGACAATTTCAGTGCGGCCGGAGCAGCGTGTCTTGCCTTTTGTCCTGAGGCTGGCACTGCATCCTGCCGTGACTGCCCAGCTGGATGAACGAGCGATGTCAAGTCTGCAGGTGTATCACTTAGACATTTTAGATCGGTTTGGACCAGTTGGTATGGTCAAGTGGCACGAGGCATTGGGTGACACCATGACACCATTCATTCAGTCTGGAATTGATGAGAAATGATGATCTGATGTGGTTTGCGTTTGGGAAACATGCATTCATCAGCAATGAGGCGACTGAGCCTGCCAGAGCCGTCCAGGTTCTTGTAGCCTGCTCAGCTCAGTACATGACTGGACAGAGTACTGTAGTTTCTCCAAGCGCCAGTGCGCCGCCACGTGTCACGCTCTTTGCGATCTGTTTCGGCAGCTTGTGACCATTGGGCCAGCCTTGGATTGTCCTGAAACTCCTAGCCTGAAGCCTCCCGCATCAATCCCGATTGTTTTGACCAGAAAACTTGACCTTTTTTTTAACATGTGTGATCATGTTGGGATATGTTGGGTCATTCTCCCAGGAAGAGATCGTCACCAGGGGAGATGCCAGAAGCTTTGATGTCCGGTTCAGCCTCGCATGCACTATAAAGATCTGTAAAGATCAATGGACATTGAAACCATTTTTTAAAAAAATTGAACTCTTATATATATATATAAATATAATGTATAACGGGCCATTTTACAAATATGGACTATAAAGATCTATAAAGAATTGGGCCTTGGTTCGACGTTTTAAACATTGGTTTTACCAAGGTCCAAAACCCCTCAGCCTATGTGGCTGCCAGCCTGTCAGGATCTCTCAGGATCAGGGACCATGTGGATGGACTGTACAGATCTGCATCGGAGGGGTATAGGGATAAATAAATATATAAATAAGTAAATAAGTAAATAAATAATATACATAAATGAATAACAAAACAAATAATGTAATGAATAATATAAGTAATATAAATCAATCAATAAATAGATAAAACATGTATAAATTATAAATGTATGTATATATATATATATTGAGGCTTTTCCTTGCTCTGTAACAGTCAGTAGGGGTTTTCTTACTCAATAGACCCCCCCCTCCATCCAGCTCAACTGTAGTAATTTCTGGTTGTCACACGCCGCACTTCACAATTTCAAGATGTGTTCTTTTTCTTGTCTACATATGTGTATAATATATATATACATACATACGTAGATCTGTCTGTTTATATAGGGGTGCTGACACGCTTTGTCGCAGCAACCTGTTGCCACAGAGCTCCAGGTCACGTGGCCGCCCAGAGATGAGGCAAGGGAGTGGTGAGTCGCGGTGAAGCTACACTGGAAACCAAGCGGGTGGACTGGTGGCCTGTTGAGCTTTCTTAAATGAGATCATAAGAGTTTTTGAGGAGAAGATAAGAAAATCATGAAACTATATATATATATGTGTGTATTCATAATACTTTTTGTTTTTATCATACTATTAAATTAAATGATTATTATATTAAACAAATGTTACTGCTGTTTTACCTCCGTGCCTCAAATAGTGCACACATCGAATGCCGTAATCCAAAGCAAAGGCATCAGACTCGCAGTGTCCCAAACTCATTGGTCCATCCTTCGCAGAACGCTTACTACACTTCCCGGAGATCCAGCTGCAGCGGCGCAGGCTAATAACCGTCAGGGTTCCTTTCGCAAGTGATCCAAAAAGATATTGACAGAGTGAAGACTTTGAAATATGTCGTATCAAAAGAATCCTTGAAGCCTGAAGGGTTTCAGTTGCAATTTCCTGTAGGCTCTCGGTCGCTCAAGGTTTGGCACTCGATTTCTGCAAGCGTAGCTGAAGGTTACAATCAGACGTATCATCACGTCAGGTGCATGACATAGGGTGTTTTGGCTGTGTCCTGATATTTTTATTCCAGGTTTGAAGCAATCGCTGTAAGCCTCTAGTTTGTGACAATCTTTCACTTTCCGCTGCCCTTCTTTTCATTGCTCAATCAATCGCAGCAACTGCCTGCCAGTTCCAGTTCCCTTTATTCTTTCGTGGTTTTGACAATCTTGCATTTCCACTTCCATGTGCTTTGCCATGCAGTGCCTCTGTACACTTGCAATCACTCTTGTGACAGTGTCACGCGCTACAGGAGGCATTCGAGGATACAAAAAAGCGGAGCTTGCTGGATCTGCTGGGCACAGCAACAGCAGCAACGTGAAGTTTATGGACTTGGAGTATTTCACCCGTAGTGAAGTTGATGAACTCCTTGTTGAGAACGCAGCCGATGACCAGCGCATACATTCTCTGGAGCAGGTTTTACGACCAGCATTCCAGGCACTGCCAAAGAGCTCCGGGCTATTGACTCAACACGCAGTCCGCTACGTACTTCACCGCTACTTCCTCCAGAGTCACGGTTGGCTTGTGAAAGGACTGGAGCCAGAAGGCCTAACCTGATCAAGTTGGTTACACACTGGTTACACTAGGATGCACTACCGTAGTCTACTGTAGGTCATTATTTGTTCATTAACATATTGATATTATTGAGTGTTATCATGTGTTATCTATCTGAGTCTGCTGACATTTGCCTAAACATAATTGCCAATGTATTCCAACATGATGATATATGATATAAGACAAGGATGACTTGCTCAATGCGTTTCATGTTCTCAAGCTATGATGAGCTTATGAGCAAACTATAAAGCGGTATAAGCAATGACTGTCACACTGCCATGCAACGCTGATCATTGCGGAGGTGCTTACCAGAAGGCGCCCGAGGGAGTCAAAAAGGACGCTTGGCATTTGTTGAGCCCGTATATTTGTAGCAGGAAGTTCTGTGACAGTGATATCACGAAATGCCAGTGCATGGCTTGTGGCTACGGTGCTTCATCTCCGAGAAACATGGAGAAACCAGGAACACTCAGACGCTGTGATGCTGTGATGTACTATGTGCAATTGTTTGACCAAAGCCACAACCAAGGCCTAGAATAATCAGCGTGAGATGAAATATATCCACACTTTTTTAAGTTCAACTGCTTTGCACATATGCCATGATTGGTTATTTGCGGAAGCGCGGCACACTCTTTCAAGTCTTGAGCAAGAAGTGTTGTTTTCACGGTTTGCAATTGCGGAGTCTTTTCGCTTGTTCACTCACTCCAAGGACTGGCAAAGTTGGGTTCCCTCTTATTTGCTGCAACACTTTGACATCGAGCAAGGCTGGACATGCCCAGAGCAGAAACTGTAGGTGCAGCATAATGCGTAAGACTTGACACTGCAGTGACTTTTGCAGCGCATTCTTTGCACACTGCCACTTGTCCTGGCGGTGATCGCAAGCCTGAAAGTTGTTGCTTGCGCCCACTTGTGAACACTTGTACGATCTTGTACGTTTGTTCGGCCTAGGTACGTATATACAAGATTATACAAGTTTCTTTTATGTATACTTAATATATATATTATACATACAATATAATAACACACACATATATATATATGTATACATTTCTATTGTGTAGATGTATATTATGTATATTATATGTAATGCCATGGCAGCACGATGTAATCAGATGGCATGGAACGCTGAAACACGTTGAAGCTCAGGCGTCAGCCTCAGAGATCTTGCAGAAATGATCGCTGTCATTGAAGACCTGGTGCGGAAGGAGAGGGGCGACTGGACATGACTGGACCATGGACCATTTGAGACATTCGGCAGACATCGGGCTATGTCTATCGGTTTTTGTGCTTGGATTTTGCCTGCATAAAGCATTATAAAGCCGTATTCTGTGCGTGTATCTGAGGAGTCGCACAGGCAGATGGCAAAAGTGTATGAAGCACTTGGTTTCTCAATGAAACTTGGCAGAGAAAGCGCAGTTGTCGAATGAATTTGACTGGATAGACTCTGATAGACATATGTCATGCTAAAACTGAAACTTCCGACCAAACTAACCCATCCTCCCATGGCAAGTCCATTGAGCAAAGCCAAGGACAGATCCCTTGCCTCGAGAAGATGCTGACCTGGCGATGGACAAGTGGTTTGGGACGTTTGGGACATGTGGGACCCACACAAAACCAGAGTCAGCACAAAAGGCCAGAGCGATTGACCAGGAGATGAGCACAAACTCACTTGCTTGTGTTTCCGTTTTTCCCCACCTGCCAGGTGAGGGTTGTTGGATTTTATCACAGTTGTTCTCCTCCTCCGCCTCTTCCTCCTCATCCTCCACCTCCTTCTCCTCCTCCTCAATTTCCTCCAGCTTCTCCTCCACCACCTTTGCATCCAACTTCCGCACGCAGTGGGCACTGCTGGACCTCAACTGCAAGGGTCTGAGCGCACTGGGCACCGCTGGACCTCAACCTGGGACCTTCCGAGCTCAGTGAGCACCGCTGGACCTCAACCTGGGACCTTCCGAGCTCAGTGAGCACCGCTGGACCTCAACCTGGGACCGTCCGAGCTCAGTGAGCACCGCTGGACCTCAACCTGGGACCCTCTGAGCTCAGTGAGCACCGCTGGACCTCAACCTGGGACCCTCCGAGCTCAGTGAGCACCGCTGGACCTCAACGGCCAGATAGAATGCCAGAAGATATGCCAGATAGAACGCCAGATAGAATTTCAGAAAGAATGCCAGAAGATATGCCAGATAAAGTGCCAGATAAAATGCCAGAAGATATGCCAGATAGAATGCCAGATAGAATGTCAGAAGATATGCCAGAAGATATGCCAGATAGAGTGCCAGAAGATGTGCCAGATAGAATGCCAGAAGATATGCCAGGTAGAATGCCAGAAGATATGCCAGATAGAATGTCAGAAGGTATGCCAGATAAAATGCCAGAAGATATGCCAGATAGAATGCCAGAAGGTATTCCAGATAGAATGCCAGAAGGTATGCCAGATAAAGTGCCAGAATGTTTGCCAGAACATATGCCAGAAGATTTGCCAGATAGAATGCCAGATAGAATGTCAGAAGATATGTCAGAAGATATGCCAGAAGATATGCCAGAAGATATGCCAGAACATATTGCAGAAGATATGCCAGGTAGAATGCCAGAAGATATGCCAGATAGAATGCCAGAAGATATGCCAGATAAAATGCCAGAAGATATGTCAGATAGAATGCCAGAAGATTTGCCAGTAACAAAACGTATAGATGTCATGGTGGGGATAACTCGAAGTAAAGTATTTTTTTGTTTTCTCCTGAGTGTATCAAATACGAGAATTCCTCAACATTCCTCAACATTCACCAGATACATATTATTAAATAGAGTTTGCTGAATCTACTAATTACCTGACATCTACTCTGCGGTTTGCATATAACCCTGTCTAGCTTTCGGACATCAACTAGAAAGAAAACAACCTCATTGTACAATAATGTTGGTAGGCATTGACAGTTATCCCATGTTATCCCTTGCATTTGTAGAAAAGGGTCAGGAATGGACAAAACGGACAAAACGATGTTTCAGCGCGTCTTTGTATGGTACATAGGCAATCATGGAATATCACAGAGTTGCAGGCACTTGTTCATACTTTCAAGTCCCAGGTGTGACTTAGACATTGTGCTTCGCGGCTGTATTGTTTGGTATGCCATGTTTGCCAGCATCGGGGTTCGTTACCCAACATGCAATGGCTGATGGGTTCCATTTGAGACACACACACATGCGATCACATACGTATATACACTAATGTTGGATACTGATTAGTGTAGGGCGCCCCCTCAACAATTTTAGGCTACTCAATGTCTCGGCATTTTCTCGCCCCCCCAAACAATTATTAGGATAGTCAACTCAAGTAAGGATTTCAATTGACATCAATCTACTGTCAATTGATTTTCCTTTTAAACCTCAAAAAAAACTATTGGTAAGAAAGGCTTTCACGTGAAATCAATCTACGTTCAATTGTTTTTCCTTTTAAACTTCCAAGAAATCTATTGATAAGAAAGGATTTCAATTGAAATTAATTTACTTTCAATTCATTTGAATCTACTTTCAATTGATTTTCCTTTTTCATCAAAAAAACACCCCAAAAAGTTTTTGTGCACAATAGGGTACCATCGAAGCAATTACATTATTGAGGATCTGGGTCACTGATGGGGTACCCCCTTGAAAAATTGTTTGGGAACTGTTTTTCAATAAGAGTTTAATGAGGCATCTAATTATTTGGGAAACCTTGCATTTTCAAGGCTTCAACATGGATATGGTTTTCTAAAGTAAATGGACCAGCTTTACCCAAAGAAAGCTGTATAAAGGTGGATAAACCTCCTCCTGGAAAAATTGGATCTGAGAAAAAACTTCTCACAATTGGGTGCTTTTCAAAGTGTTCAATTATTTTTGGGAATTGTCTCACTATAGATTCCCATGACACTAATCGGGATGCAACATTTTATAATTAGATATATAATATTATATAATTATATTATATATATAATTAATGCATTATATTATATAATGACTGTGTTGTTAGATAGGTGGGCACCCTGACTTTTTCCCAATCTATGCATGCAGATGTGTGCTGTTTCTTGTGTTGGGATGGACTCTGGAGACAGCTAATCTTGCAATGTGCTCCTTTTGCCTTTGGCCTTTTCACTTTCCGTGCGTCAACGCTAATTTTTAACACCAAGGCCACTGACAAATCTTACACATGGAGAAGTTTGGCTCAAACCCTCACAATCTAGAGAATGACATGCTCAAACTATATCTATTATTATTGTCTAGTTATGTTTAACATTGTTTGACATATCATTGCACATACGTGCATCCATCAAGATCACCGGTGTTTTTCCGTGTCAGTCCTTTCAGTCTGATCGGGGTCCAATTGGCCTTGGCAGGACATGTACCTGATCATTGTACTGACGGCCCGAAACATCACAATGGCAGAACCCACAAAGAACAGGTCTGCCTGGCACTTCGTTTTTTGCAATATCCAAATTGGATATAATTGGATCAAATTGGTCTGAAGTGTCTTTGGGACTGAATGGCCCCAGTTTTAATTGCTGGGCTCCCATGAAACATCACATGGTCACAACGAGTCCATGAAGAATGAAGAGGTCCTTCAGATGTTTGATTCTAGATATGCTAGGTCACCTCAGAAGAGATGCAGTGTTTAGTTTGTGTGATTTTGGGCTAAATGCATCTAAATGCAGCAGTAGCATTAGCATGGGCACATTGTACAGCAGAGTATGAGCCCGACAGAAGAGAGAGAGAGAGAGTGACGATGACTAGTATTTGTTGGTACAAGTCTGTGATGTCAGCATGGTTTGGAACATGTCTCCAAGAGTCAAAGTAAGATCGCTGCATGATGGCAAAGCTGCCATGCTTTGGAGAGGCTTCGCCTTCAAGCCTTTCAGACGCGATACCACGGTTATGCTGACATGCATGAATGGCTTCGAGATTTAGGCCAGAGGCACCTCAGATAAAGTACGCTAACTGAACCGGTTGGGGTCCGCATTCGTGAACATCAGTCCCTATTCGCACAAAAATTCAATGGCTTCACTTTCACTTTCTGGTCTTCAAAATTACTTGTTGGACTTTGTTGATTTCTTTACTTATGCATTTATTTCTTTTTAGTAGTGATTCAAGCCAACCGCAACTAAAGGTTGAATGAATTGCCCGGTGACGTCGGGCACTGGGGGATGTTTATTGACGTTGTGGTGTTTGTCATGTCAGAGCTCTTGAGTTTCATTGGCAGCGTTTCTACGTGCTTCTAGCTCACACTGCCTTTTGTTGAGATTTCTTTGCTACGATGGCCAAGGTACTTTGAAGATAGCCCTGAAGAGGGCCTCAGTTTCTCCACTATGAGCAAGGCTGCGGAAGCTTTTGGAGACGAATTTCCGCAGTTCAATGACAAGGAGGGTTGGGGTGAGGGCAGATTAAGAAACTCATCATCAGTACGCTTTGGAGGACACTGGTAATAGCATCCTTTTGATGATCAGCACTATTAACTATATATATATACATTGATTTACTATTTAGATCTATTGAGTCTATTCTCTTCGATTTCACTCTTGCTGCAAAGATCTTGAGTTAAACGTTGTGAGACACAAGCAAAATCGCACATGGGCATTTTGTGGTTCTCAAGCGGCACCCTTGCAACAAGGAGTGCCACGAATTGAAGACAACCCTCATGAAAATGGAAGGTGGCAGTCGCAAGCCAGGCTTGGAAGCTGTTTTTCAAGATCTCAGCTTGATATTTTTTGTTCTGAGATGGGAATGTGAAGGAGCTGAGTCTCACTTTTCTCACTTTCACTTGGAAGAGCTTTTAAGATGTTGAGATATGTCAGGGTGAGGCACGGGTAGGTAGGACCAGCAGGGGCCAGACATTTTGCCAACCCGGAGACCTCAGAATCCGAGGCCGTATTCCGTTGTCTGATTTCTACAACAGCAGCACATACAGACACTGGAATTTCACAGAGAGTCCAGATTACCTCCGAGACTTGGCGTTGATGGTCCATGCTGACGACTGTTGATGCTATGTCTTCCATGCATTCCATTAATTCCATGGTGCATTGAAGTAAATTTACATCGCACTTGTTCGATCTTTTCGATGGTTGGCCATCTAGGAAGTTCGGACAGAAAAATTCGCAATAGTTGGATGATGTTGGATGCTTACAACATCATATTGTATTAATTTGTATTGTATATTGTTGTGGCCTTCTTCTCGCCATTTCCGGTTTGTATCAGGTGACCTTGGGGCACTGGACGAATCTGATGTGCATCGGAAGTATGTGATTTTGGCAAATTACATCAGCAGCTCCTATCTTGAAAGGGATGGCATAGGGGATGGCATGGAGTGGGGGGAGTGCAGCTTTAGGAGGCAAGACTGGTGAGGTGCATTATTGTTGGTATCGGCATTGTCTTTGCACTCTTGGAACTCAAAGATTGCCAAGAGATTTCGGTGGGTGTAGTCCTTTAGTATCAGTGTTTGACTCTTAAGAGGCAGCAAGCGTGATTGCTCAAAATCGAAGTCAGCATGTGGGACCTTCTCCGAACCAATTAGCGTTTTGTCTAGCGACGGAAACGAGCAGATAGCACAACAGCATTAGAGGCGACCTTTACTGACCGCATCATCATCTCAAGATGATGGGAAAGACTGGTCAACCATGATCAAAATGAATGAGGTATAGGAAAGGATAGGAAACGCGCAAGCATGTGCCAAGCTTGGGGCTAAGCTTAGCGCTAAGCTCTAGCCGAGGTTTCAACAATTGCGTCCGTGCTGACAGCCTCTACGCCATTTGCTGCCGCAGCCCCTGTGAGCGTTTGATGAATGTGCTGGAAGAGAAGGCCACTGTGACATCGATGATCGTCACACGCACTAGACAAGAACTGGATCATTATAGTGATCCGTCAGGAACTGAGTCCTGTAACGTGCAAACCAGACTAGACCATCAGACATGTTTGCAGGTACACATCCATGGCCAGAGGATGCTTCCCTCTCTGATGCATAGCTTCGTTGGACAGAGTAGCATCAGAGAGCTCTGTCCCCCTGCATTGTAATATTATTAGAAAGGGAGAGGACAGAAGGCAGAAAAAGAGAGATGTTTTACATCTATTCAGATGTTACACACACACACACCCGGCCGGAGCCGGGTCAACCCTGAAAGGCAAGAGGAAGAAAAAAACGAAAACAGACGACGGGCAAAAGGCCAAAACAGCGCAGGGGGGGGAGGGGAACAGACGGACCTCCAAAACCAACCTACACGGCGAAATGGACCTGACCAAAACAGTGCACACACCTAAACCCCACGACACATTACGGAGAGGCACGCGGGGAATTAGGGACCAAATGGGGGACTAGTTGATGGCAAACAAGAAAAACCAAAACAATTAGTTTAAAAATCAGAACTCAGTCCCTAAATACCTAGAGGTCGTGCATTGTTCCCTTGCCGGGACGGTAGTCAGGTTAGCCACAAGGGCATAAACAGCTGTTCAAATTCCAACGAATTAGGTGCACAACATGTTTGACCTCACCAGACAACCACAAAAAACAAAAAAGGACCACACCTAAGGCCATGTACCTGCCTGATCTCTGTGCCGTGTAGTAATGCACATGTCACTTCACTCACTAAAGCCGCAGCGAAAAAACGAAATTTCGGATTGTTCCGAACGGCTTCACTCTGATAGACAGGCATTTCGGCGAGGAACCCTGGGACCAACGGACCAGTGGGACAACCCTAAAAGGCTGGAAAACGGTAAGGCGAGCTGTTTCGCTTTACCTAATCGAATTACCAAATTAAAATGTGTGAATTCGGAAGTCAGGAGAGTCATCATTCACCCTGAAAAGGGTTGCTCCATGGCACCATGTCGGAGCCACCATGGAAATCACACTAGACAAGAACTGGATCATTATAATGATCCGTCAGGAACTGAGTCCTGCAACGTGCATACCAGCCTGGACCGTTCGACATGTTTGCAGGTACACATCCATGGCCAGTGGATGCTTCCCTCTCTGATGCATAGCTTCGTTGGACAAAGTAGCATCAGAGAGCTCTGTCCCCCTGCATTGTAATATTATTAGAAAGGGAGAGGACAGAAGGAAGAAAAAGAGAGAAGTTTTACATCTATTCAGATGTTACACACACACACACTTGATGCACATGCTGGTTCGTGAATGCTTCTGATGCTTCTAATGATTAATGCTTGTGTGTTGAGCCGCTTGTGTTGTCCTTGTCTCGCCTTTGGCATGGTTTTGTTGATTCTATGTTTGAACTTTAGTATGAGAAAGGGAAATGCGATCGGAAGTGCTTCAAGAAGCTACATTTTTTACTAGTTTTTACAATGGCACAGACACTATCTCCCATATCTCTCAACAATGCTTACGACCTCTTTGTGCCATGAGATTTGTGCTAAGCCTGACTTTTGCTTACATATTATTAGGTCCTGCCAGCAATATTTGGCATAGCCGCATAGTTCAAGCACTCGTTGACACAACAATTCGGCTTGGATTGGTTTCCTTCCTCACATGTTCGTCCAATTTCGTCCCATGTTTGTTGTTGCACTGATTGCACACTACAATTTGGACAGTTCCGCTTCCATTCTAATGTTTTCCGATATTTGCTGTAGATACCGTTTTGGCCGCCTAATTTGCACGAGACATTCTGCCAAGTCGAGTTCAGAGTAAGATGAGTGGTTGGGAGACACTGGTATGGATGGTATGGTTTATTTGCATTTTAATCATTGTTTCAACTTGCAGGTGGCTGCACCTTCAGCAGATGCAACACTTCTTGCCAGCATTGTGGCAAATCTTTCGACTGAGACCGTGCCTGCTAGAGGCCTTCGGGTGAAGTCCATGCCATTTGGTCAAACACGCTGTGTTTGCACCATTTGAATCCATTTGCTCTTGTTACTGCAACAAGAGTGTCTTTCTCATGATTCTCTTGTGATCTCTCGTGGCTCCTGTGTTGCATCATTATTTCGAGAAAGTAAGAAAAAACCACTGACGTAAGATGACAGAAGCAGAAATCGTGAAGAGGTTGAGTGAGGTTGGGCGTGCGCATTCTGCAGGCCTATAACTTTATATTATATATAATATATATATATATTTATTTATCATTTGTATCACACTTGCGATTACAAGATTGCGAGCAAATTGAGTTGTTAGCTCCTGTTGTACAACCTCACATCATCTCACATCTTTGTAGGTACATTGGACCCAAAGCTGATGGACCGTTTAGAAGACGTTGCACGACAATCTGAATCTGGTTCTGTGCCCCCTCACGGCCGCCTTTTTGCCCAGCGCTTTTGCTGAAATTGAATCGATCGTGTCAGCATATGTCAGCCACACTATAGGGTAGGTAACTTCTGGAACAACTACTATTGAAGCAGATAGAAGGAGGTAACGGCAGGTCTTACAGTTGAGATGGTCGAGTGTCAGTTTTGTGCTGTCACGAGCAATGGTTTGAAGATGTTTGAAGCTTTTATTTTTTCTCATTAGGTGGATGCATCACGTTTTCCCTCGCGAATGTCCATATCCTCATGAGGCTGGCCGTTAGCGTGTTTTGTGATGCTTTGTGCATTTATGTATTCATGGTAAATTCATATTAAATTCAAGTGCAAAGATTTTCGGAAAAGCTGACATGAATCTGCAGGCATGCACAGAAAAATGCGAATCATAACAACCTAACAACCTCACCCTCCAAGTTCCACTGAAGCTGCTATGAGTTGGGAAAAAAATCAAGAAGCTCCCCCACTTCGATCGAACAGTACTATCGCTTTTGGCTCAGCCAAAGAGCTCCCAGCCCAACTGCCAGTTGGCAGATGCTGCTCTCCGCGAAGATAAATCATGACAAATCTGAACTAATCTAAGTCTCAATCGACTCGTCCTCTTGGAGGCTGGGACAACGAATCCTCAGACACCAGATGAGTGGATGAAGACAAATGGAAGAAGCACACAGGTCTCCGCCCAACAGATTGAGCAGATCGCAAGGGATGCTTGCATGCAGATTGCAGTTCATTCATGTTCCTTCTGAGATGGACATGTCATCATGTTATATCATATTGTCATCCGTTGCGATCCAAATTTTTTTGATGTAGCAAAAGAGAACAAAGGGATGATAATCAACAGGCAAACATAAATCATGAGTTTTGTGTTGGAAGGACGGCCCGACACCACATGTTTACCATCAAATATCATCATACATACATATAAATATTTATTATTTGGAGTAGTGGTATTGGAAGAACATTGATGAAATAGTTTCCTCGCTTACGCATGCAATTATGATAATTATGCAGTATGCGCATCAAAGTGCGTTATAGGCAGCCCATGGACCGTAAAGGGGTTCATCAGAGGACAGCTGCCCAGCCGACAAGAAGGAGGGTCTTCCGAGACACTGTGACATGGAGAATGCTGAGCTTCCCTGGAGCAACCGTGAAGACCGGGCAGAATTGCTGAGTTCATTGCATGGTCTAAACCTCAAGACATAGGTGGACGTGACTAAGTGGACAAGCATTGAATGTTTGGGACAAGTCACAATGAACTATAAGCATCTAGTGACCTGCCATGATGTACTAGTACCATGAAATGAAACGCCATCACAACATACTATGACTTTGTCTCTTTGACCCAGGTCCCAGAACCCAACTGAGCGGACACAAATTCTTTGGGCGAGAGGAACAACTTGGAGACTCTTCAGAGGCCCTCCCCCGGGACAGAGTTCACTTATTCATGCCATAATATGCCACAATGAGACACAGAGAGAGAGAGAGAGGGGCAGGGAGGGAGACAGAGATTGGCTTCTTTTGATCCGATGTCCTCGAATCTCTGAAAACGCGATGAAACACTGACTGGGCTGCCTGGGAGGACTCGGTGCCTTTGCTCACGCTTCTGTCCTTTGTGGCCTTGCCAGCGATGGTGCTTTCAGCGTACTTGCTGGACCACATGACTCTCGTTCAGCATTTACAAACCATGCAAGTTTTTCAACGTTCGGTTGCAAACCGGGAGTTTGTAAAGGTGTCGTTTCAGTGGTGGTGCTGGTCAGCCGCTTGTGAGTCAAGCCTCCAGGTTGCAAGATCGGTGCTTGGTACTGAGGCTGGGGCGAAACAGACAGCTGCAGCGACGTTGCTATCTATCTTTAGTCTCAGCGCGGGCCTCGAGAAGAGATACGGGGGCGGACATTGCAGGTTGAAGCATACAATGGACTTGTGTCTATTCTTGAACATATTGCACATTCATCAATCTGGCAAGATACTTGTAAGATTCCATGCAGAACAGGCGGAATGTCATCGGCAATCCATGTCACACGGGATGTGCCTTGCTTTCTGATGGCTATCCTATGTAGGCCCTGGCCTTCATTTGGGCAACCGTGCTTTGTTTGATGTTCCACATCGTGGATATGAAAGCTGCAACGGGAGCTGGCTTGGTCTTCCTTCTTTGGAGGCTGGCTGAGCCTTGCAGCAATTGCACTTTTGTATGCCATACTTGTGGACAATTGCACGCAACATGTGCGCTGTTCGAGGCTTTTGGTAAGCCATTGGATTCCTGTCTCTGGTGGCAAGCTCATCGATTCTGCTGTATGATGAGCCGCAATCCATGCACGATAGCTTCTACAGTCTGATGGTTGTGGTTGGCGCGTTTCACCTATGATTTGCGCTGAAGTAAGTGAAAAAAGTATGATGTCGTATGTGGTTCATCCAACCGTGATGTTCCACTGACAAACTAGAGTCGGAGCAAAGGGACTTGGATAGTCACAAGTACAGTAATTGTATAATACATGGCTATACATGATACATGTTGGCGCCAAACCCCAACCCACAAGATCTCTCCTCTACTATAATACATCTAACTCAAACATGATCTACACCCTCAAAACACGCTACTCTCTGGTGACAAAAGTAAGGACTGTAGCCTGCTGCTTTCAAACAATCCTGATATCCGGCTGAGACATCCATAAGTTTAACAGGGACGCTTTCTACTAGGGGAATCTAATCTTGATAAGGAATCAAATCCCCCACCCCCTCTGAACAAATATGTTGAATAGTTTACTAAATTCCGCTTCTCTTCATAAGGGATCAAATCCCCCATTCCCTCTGAACAATTAATATTGAGTGGTTTTTTAACTTCCACTTCTCGTCATCATAAGGGATCAAATTCCCCCGCCCCCTCTGAAAAAAAACATGTTGAATGCTTTATTCGCTTCCACTTATCTTCATGAGGGATCAACCCCCCCGCCCTGGTGAGATCCCCATCTGAACTTCAGTTGACTTCCGGCACAACGTAGGGTTTGCAGCGTACATGTTTATATCCTAGCCTATAACAGAAAACTCACTGCAGACTCCTGTGGCAAAAGAGAACATAATCTTGAAAGATGAGCCCTACATGATATCATCAAGAATCAACAATGAATAATAAGCCTGCCCATGTTCTTGTGGACGCCTCCGAATGCATGACCAGGATGATCAGGATGATTGCACCCCTGAGTCTTTGGTATGCTTTTGGTATCATTTAATGGTTTCATACGCTTCAAATATGCTTCACTGCTTCACATGTCTCACTTGCTCCAAAGAAATTGCATCCAAGGTCTCCCAGGCGACAGGTGGCTGGGTGTTGTGGCAGTTGTGGTAGTTTGCTTGTGCGTTTTACCATTGCAAGGCACAAGGCTGTCCGTAGGGTTTACCCGCATCTATATTGATTTCAGTTTGCTCAATATGAGCCATGCCGTAGTTGGTTATTGACATTTTATGTTTTTCTCCGATCTTCCGCATTTGCTTTTGAATTCAATATCTCAAGTGCATTATATAGACAGCTTGAGCATTTACATAGTGTCATGTGGTGTCATTTCGTGTCATTTTCACATGCTGATGCAGGCTGGATTCCCGTGACCGACCGGTCGTGTCGCAGCTGAAGAAAAGGTCAGGGTTTGAAAAAGTCAATCCAGTACTTGACAGGAACAACATGATTGAGACTAAGTCACTAAGTCTTAGATTTTGAAACTGTCCGTTCTGAGGCATTGAAGTCTATGGAACTTTGCCCGATGAATGGATTCAGCTAGGGACCAGTCTTGGGCACTATATTGACACCCGACAAGGCTCGCCGTGTCTGACTGAAGGCAGCGCAGACGTAGAATAAAGATGGCTGCATATGGCTGCAAGAGTCCCCTCAGTTTGCAGTAAGATGTGTGCCACAGGAATTGATTTTGTTCTGCACTGGAGTCATCCAGAATTGGACAGGTTCTATCGTGTGATATGACCTTCGCACAAGATTCTGAGGTGTCGTTCTACAGTCTACGGTTGCAGTATGTTGCAGTGATCTCTTGCATTCTCTTGCCACATCTCGTAGCCATGTGCAAACATCCACCAGCCAATAGGCGAGTTAACAATATCTCTCCAGATCTCTCAAGTAGGTCATAGACGGTCATACTGTAGCCATAGAAACAGCATAGCCTTGGGCAGAACTCATAATTCTCATGCAGCATGCAAAGGCATCAAAGGCAATTGAATGGTTTGAATAAAATTCCCGTCAAATGTAAGGGCCGTCGGGTCTTCCGTCCTAAGACGAGTGAAGGACAGGTGCAAACCAAGGTAAAAATTGCAACGGTTTTGTATTGCCGCCCAAAAAAGTGTGGGAGTGTGTGCCGGGGTCAATTTCGGCGCCCGGCATGGCATCCATTTGGTTGGAAACCCATGGAAAGGTCTAGGCCTTACATAGCCTTACCAAGGTTTTTCAAGTTTGCCTGCTGTCATCAAACATAAAGCTGGCATGCGGTTGAGTGTGTTACTTTTCATGATCCACGTGTCTTTGCTATGTAGAGATATCCGAGGCCATCTTGGTAAAGGGTGACACCATGCAGATCAAGGTGATGATGGAACATTTCGGTATTTCATCGGCACTGCCATGTGACTCAATATGTTCAGTGTGGATTCTGAACTTCAGACAGATGTCAATGCATCCACCACAGGACTTCCTGAAGACAAAGGGAGGGAAGTGGAATGGTGGCCTCAAGTCTTGGCTCTTTCCTGGATCCAAGAAGGCAAGTTATCAAGTCATGCATAGTCACGCGATCAAATTGCAATCTACGTTCAGTATCGTCCCAGTCGTTCAGTAATTTGCTTGAGAGAAAGAATTCAACAGCCTTACCAGATGTCGGGTTTTGGGGTTATCAGAGCCCCACAAGTCCATACACGGTGTTCGTATTGACAATTAGCATTTTGGATTGGAGTGCTAAATGTCATCTCAGCGGCTCAGGACGCAGTTCTGCAGGGTTCCAGACTTAGAAGCATTGTGTTCAGTCTTGTACACTCGGATGTTGGGATTGATCGGCAATTTTTGTGAAAGCACATCGGGAAATTGTTGGGAAGGTTTGGGAAGTATATTGTATGTCAAGCACTGACACTGCATATCATTGCATACCATTCCATATCTACCAAGACCTCCAAAGCTGCAGTCTAGTCAAGAAGGTCGACGACAGGTGGGCTTCCCAGTTTGGCAACCTGTCATTGTACTTGTAATTACTTGTATACCTTGTATTTCTGTCCAATGAAGTGGAGACATTGATAACCATTAACTATTGATAACCAATGATAACCATATATTGATCATTATATGAAATTATATGCTGTATATAGATATATACAATATAAAATAACTATATACATCATTATACAACGCTGATTTGACCGTTTGCCATCGTGCAGCTCAGGACAGGATCGGGTGATCCAAATGCCACGTTGTCAGCAAAGGCTGCACCTGAAAAGGCTGCAGCACCTGAAAAGGCTGCATGCCAACATGTTGGGAACTTGTTGTATGATCTGTATGATGTTGTATTGATTTGTTCGGATTTGTTTGGATTTATTGGCCACGGAGGCAACTGTTTGTTGCTGTGTGACCCAGTTGCACAGCACAATCTGCGCAGTGTGCTTTCTTGCAGGCACCAGCGAAGCGATCGGAACCGGACGCTGAGGCACAGAGAGCAAATATCCCACATGTATCTCCCTTTATACTATATGTATATATATATAATGTTTCGTCCTGATTAGTGTTAGGCCCCCCCCCCGCTCAACAATACCTATACCCTCTTTAAAGTTGGACGCAAAAAAGCGGTCCCCCAGGGGAAAAACAAATCTACACTTAAGTAAGGATTTCAATCGGCTACAATTGGAATATTTTTCAGTTGGAATATTCTTTTTTTGCCGATGAACTTGTGGTATTTGCAGTACTTGTAGTACTTGTAGTGAGTGGGGTTCAGCATGTTGATTGCGTTACCTTTTCCACCTTAAGTTTTTTCTTAATGAAACATGTAATAAGAGAAAGAGAAAGAAAAAGAGAAAGGGAACGAGAGAAAGAGAGAGAGAGAGAGGAAGAGTAGGAGGAAGAGGAAGCGGAAGAGGAGGAGGAGGAGGAGGAGGAAGAGGAAGAGGAAGAATAAGAGGAAGAGGAAGAGGAACAGAGAGAGAGGAAGAGGAAGAGAAAGAAAGAGAAAGAAAAGGTTGCTTTTGTAAAAGGTTTTTCTTTCTTCTCTTGGCTCCAGGATCAGCTCTGGACATTTTTGCTGCAATTGTGAACCCTGAGAACAAACCTGCTAAAGTGAACTGGACCCTCTCATGGCCCAGTGCCTTGGAAATTTGTGGAAAAACTGTTCTTTAATGAAGGTTTAATAAACGATCTGATTCTTTTGGGAACGGCAGACAAGCACGATTGTTTGCAGAAAAAATGTCATTTTTTTGACTCAATAGCGAACCTGCCAAACAATGCATGGGTTCAGAATAATAATGTGTTTTTCTGGCACAATAGCGAACCTAGCTACTAATCAGGATACAACATTACTTGTATCGATTGTAAATTGAAATGGCCAATATTTTAGCATTTCGTGATGCTATTGCAATATATAATCATTATAGGATAAACTCATGCAGATGCGGCCAACAGTTGCCTGCAAACTGCAACGGAGTACCTCTTGAAGAGACATGGAATGGAACTAGCTCCGTTTGGACCGTGTTTTTTTTTTTGCATTTTTTACTGAGACTGCCGCAGGTCATCGAGTTAGATGACAATGTGACTTGACTGGAACAAGCGGTCAAACAGTGGCCCTTTAGGCCATTTGGCAAATCAACAGGGTTTCTGACAGTGGTTTCTGCAGTTTTTGTCAGTTTTCTACATACATAAGTCTTGCTCTATATATCCCTCTTCTTTTTTTGGTAAGTACATAGACAGACATGGGCGATCATGGGCGGTCAGACTCCTCCCCATCCTGACGCCTCCTTGAGTTTTGCCGAAACCTTTTTCCGTTCCCGATATCATGATTATGAGAATGACATCGTATCACATCAACCGATTGACTTTTTTTTTGGGTTTTGCTGGCAGCAAACCCCCCAAAAAAAAACAACGAAAAGCTGCATGAGGCTTTGTTCCTGCATTCTTTTCGGTGTGTTTGCTGCCAACCACAGTGCTTCAGAGACTTACAGAGTGAAACAGGAACACGAAAGGAACTTGCTGAACGTGCCAGCATTTTCCGGCAGCGTTTTGTGATCGGAAGCTTCGAGTCGTTCACACTGCTTTGAATGTCTGCTTTGTTTATTTTAAGGTCAGAATTACAGTGAATGCCTACCAGGGCAAGATTGGCAGCTTGTTGGCACTGACGTTTTCTATCGAGTCTTTGATGAAGCTGCATCACTTGTCGTGGTATTGACTTGGCTGGTCTTGCCACGTTTCCATCCAAAAAAATGAGTATTTGTTTGAAAAGCGTGCAGCAGGGGCTGCTAGAGAATGCTAGAGCTAAACGAATCAGGTGTCGACGTGCGGAGGTTCTACAGAGACAAGGCAGTTTCCATTGTTGCTGGAGCGCTTCCCTGTTTGGCATACAGGTGTTGCAGAAATGACATTGACACGATGCTGAATAAGAAACATGCCGCGCAATTTCCTACTGCAGCACGTGTCAGTACTTCTCCAATATTTAATAATATTTATAGTGTTGCCATGCGTGAGGCGTCTGGAGAATTGCGCCCCGGAAAGGCGTATCCACAGCTGGGGAAGCGGCAGAATCAGATTGAGACGCAGTCATCATTGCTAGGTACTGGCAGCAAGGTTTGAATTAATCCATCACCAGAGGCTTGCAGCACCTGGACAAAGCATTGCAACGATCACACTGCATCCTTGAGGGCTTGCGGATGTCGGAGCAGGAATGGGAAGCAGTTTGCAGGAGCCCAAGAAAACATAAGAAAACTTTAAGAAAACCTCATTTGAGAGAGTCCTATAAAATCCTACAAAGCAGTAGTTCGATGTAGTTCGTGAACCTGTGTGAAGCGCCTTTGTCCAACTTTGAGGCGCTGTTACAGATCGTATTGACAATATGCTGAAGGAGGTGCCAAGTCTTCAAGAGACTTCGGAAATTCATTGAACATCATTGAAATTTCATTGAACATATTGAAACCGCATTGGATTTGACAATTTTGACACGCAAAACGTGCCAGCGCACTGACTTGGCTTACTAATCAGGGCGACCATTTCTCCTCGAAAGGACACTGTCAGGATATGTTTGCAAATTGTTTGTACCAAATCGCTTCTGCTACTTAACTATATCGTCGATCTGCAATGCGTGACTCGAGGACACTAGAATTGCCATGATTTGCTGGAGTATGCTGGAGTGTTTTGTATTTTTTGAGATATTTCGATAATTATATATTATATATTTATTTAATGTTATTTATATGTTTTGAGCATCCTTGTTTGCAGAATGGACATGCAGAAATGATGGCCAAATTGCCAAAGTATCACAGTTGAAAAATGACAGATATCATTCAGGACCTTTGTAGCGATGTTTGATTTTATGCCATCCGTCCTCCAAGGCCAACGAAACTTCCTGGAGTGTTGAGGGAGACCTGATGGTCAGCATCACTGGAGGCAGCGTCGACCTTCGCAGGTACTACACTGCATCTTGGCCGGACAGTACTCCTTGGTTAGATTTGGTAAGTTCCAAATGGATCCAAATGGTTCCATCATGCTGGAAGAGGATGGTTTTGCAGCTAACTTGTACCAGCTTCCAGCTGATTTGCCAGCAATTTGCTGGTGCCTTCTGAATCACTGGAGGGAATGCTGTCCGCACCAGTGCCAGAGAATGAATCTAGACGAGGCCATGGCAGCCCACAAGTCGAAAGCACACTCAATTCCAAACCTGATGTCATTGAAATTGGTATTATATATATATAATTATATGTATACATATATATAAATAATTATATATATAGTGTATATATATATATAATTAACATGTTTGATCATGCTGGGCTTGCCAAGGACAAAAACGACGGGGAAAAGAAACCAGGCCGTGCCGTTTGTGACATGCCAATATATTTGATACGCTTTGACTAAATGGCTGCCAAATTCCAGTGAGCAGCCGAAGGACTACACGATGTCAATTTTCCCTTGCGAGATCATACGGATAGCCACAAGCAACATCAAGCAAGAATTTTCTATATAGCAGATTGCAGCAGATCTCCATCCCCTATCCATCCCTTTTCCGCATATCAATCCCTATACGTTGCGTTTCACCGCAGGAAAACAAGGCACTCGCCTCTCTGGCATCCTGTGGGCTTCGCTGAAGGCCACAAAATTCCGACAGAAAATCATGGGAGTCCACAGGTGTGGGAAGTGGAAGCACCGTGAAACAGTGAAGTATGTAGTGCGACAGGTGATGAGGGGTGGCTTACATGAGTACCCTGAGTTGCTTGAGGCTGAAATTCCTCAGATTGCAAAAAAGCTGTCAGAAGCAGGTGCAGCAGGCAGGAAGAACTTGCTCGCTGTCGTCCTTGTTGGATGTTGTTTGAGAGATTTTGAGAGAGCCAAAAAAAGAGAATGTTGCGAAGGGCAGACAGTCACGCCATGTCAGCCCGACAGAGAAGGGAAGACACTGCGGCCTGATCCGTTTAGTCCGTTTAGGAAGCGCCAAACCTCAGAAGAAACAGAAAAAGAAGGCAGATGAAGCCCCCCAGCACCTTGGCATAGCTTGGCGATGTTGGCGATGTTGAATGCCAGGATATGCCAGGATTCTGAGTTGAGCCATGGCAGCAATGGCAGCCATGGCAGCCATGCCTCGCAGAAACAGTCTGAACTTCAAAGACTTTGGTGAAATTTGATGAAACTTGGCTCATCTTGGCTCTTTTAAGATACCCTTGTGATGTCTTGGAGAACAAAGGAAAGCCTCTGAAAGCGACGAACACAAGAAGCCGGGCCCCTGACAATGAAATTGTGTGAATTTGATGTATACTGGTACAATCAATCAAAGCCATGTGCGCAGGAGATTATGATAAATTATGTAATTATACAAGCCCTGGACAGCAGTCCAAGTAAGTTGGCATACCGGAAATACCGGCATATCAACTGTTTCTCAAGATGCAGATTTCACCTGCAAGCGGTAGATGATACGACTTGTTGCTTCAAGCTGACGACTTCAGGTGGAGGCTCGAAATCAAAAAGATCGTGCAAGGCTGGATCACATAGGGCATTATGAATGGCCAGGATGAAGTGAATAACTGAAATACCATGATATACTATGATATACTAGTGTATGTAAGCTGCAGATTGGGGGAAGTTTTTTTGGCTGCGGTGTATTCCGATTTGATATGGACACTTCCTGGAACTGAAGGCGATAGCTTCAAGAGACATCAAGGGCATAGCCGCCGTAGCACTTTTTAGCATCCGTAGCCCGAGGCAAAGATCTTGAGAAGTTGAGCGCCCGCAATGTCCGAGAGCAGCTGGAGGTGCCATATGCCCATGGGTTGACACATGGGTACCCACATGTTGACAGGTGATGTTTCTCCACAGAGCCTTCTTGGACTACCTTTGGACATCTTTGGACGACCTGGTGCATTTTCAGACACTCTGGATGAAGATGATACAGTTGGACTACTGGACACTATTAGATATTAATTATTAGTATATATTAGGGTATATTATATTAAGGCTGTTGGATGCTATCACATATTTGATCATATGTGTATGTCAATATAAACACAATGTCAAGATTGTCAAGACATTCTCAGGAGACGCTTGGTTTGCAAAAGGATGGATTGCTGGCGCAGAAAGATGAGGCCATCGGATGACTTCACGTAGCCCACATGTGGAAGTTACATGAAGTTCCCCATGCGTAAATAGCGTAAGTCACTGGTGAGCCTGTTGCATCCTGCCAAGTGCGGTCTGACGTAGTACGGTGCCTTTCTGGATCTGTATGGTATGCCTTAAAATGACAAAACTTGCTTGGCATGGCCAACAGGGAGGCTCAATGGAGGCTCATTGTCACCAAATATGAATAATAAATATATAATAATATATAATAATATAATATAATATAATATAGGTCTTGTATAGTCTTGTCATTGTTTGCCTGGAGTCATTTCTTGGGTTTGTTGCTGGTGATGTGCATTTGTTCCAGCAGCGAGAGAGCTGAAAGTGCAAGCGAGTGCCAGGTGAACGCGATGATCAAAGAGGTTGTGGTAGCTTCGGCATCTTAATTGGTCTGCTTGGTCTGCTTGGGCTGCTTGCAGATGCAGCAGCAGATGCAGCTTGGGGAGCTAATCCGGCCGGAGCTAAGCAGCTTGAGTCTCAGTGTTGTGGAGACCCGAGTAGCACCAAGCTCATCCAAGTATACCAAGTTCGAATCAAATTGTCGAAACATCGTTTACATTCTTACCGTATACATGTTTTTAACCATTGGTTTGACATGGTTTGACTGAGCTGCTCAATTTCGTTCAGACCATTGAATGAATACGGCCCTGAGCTTTGGACGTGCTGTGGGACAGCCACCGTGCTCAAAGCGACAGTCTCGTGCCCCGCCATCTTGCGGGTGAAAAAGCATTGCTATGCCATTGCTATCCATTGCTATCCATTGCTAGTTTGATTATTTTGATGTGCAGATATCTGCAGCTACTGTTGCCGGGCAAAGATTGTGCCAGGAAACTCAGGCCATTGAGAAATGATGAAATGATCGATTTATATCTATAGGATATATCTAGGCATGTCTAGGCCTAGGCCTACGCACAAAGTGCATATTCGAAGTTTAAACTTCTCTTGGACACCTACTATACATACTGTTATATATGTTATATAGAAGAAGTGGAGGCATAGTTACTATAGATAGACAAAGAATCCGAAGGCTTAGGATAGAATGTTGGGTTAGGTCTTGGGTCACATGAAAGGGAGCGCCTTGGTTCATATTGATTCCATATGCTGCGGCAAATGATTTGCTTATTTTGGGCAGGATGATCCATGTTTAAATGAATGGAATCGACATATTTTTGAATGACATTGATTGCTTTGAGCTCCAGACGAAACCCTGCTTGCCACAACCATCAGTGACCAGCAAAGGCATTTTCCAGGTGCCCCATCATGACCATGAGCATCATGTATGAAACCTACTGTAAATGTGAAGTGAATATCCAATTTATCCAACTATAGAGCTTAAGGACCCCTGCACAGTTTCCATGTCTCCGTGATGCTATGTGCTTGCTGAGTGGTGACAATCTGCCCAGCATCCACAGTTATCACATCCCGAGCCCGATCATGTCATGTTGATTCATGTTGGACCTTTGGGCTTCAGCATATCATGCCTCCTGCACTCTGGAGTTGCTGGGTATGCTTTGGATGTGACTTGGTCATGCAACACTATATTTGTTGGGTTCATGGATCAGGCGAGGTGTCAGAAACACGAAAGCTTGCTAGCTGGATGATGCTGGATGCATTTGTATTTTATTCCTGAATCGCAATGCAAATTAGATAAATCAGCTGTTGCTCTTTCACGTCACGATTGATGCACCTGAGGTGACGCATTTTACCTTCCTTACTGGCTTTGGACCAAGACAACGATGGACTCGGGGACTCAATCATCATTCTCAGCTTGATTTGCAGTACAGCATTTTGAGCAGCCAAGCCGGGGGTGCAAGTTGCTTCAGTTTGCATGGAAGATTTGGAGCAAAGTAAAGAGGTGGATACCAGAGACTGTTTCGGGATGTTTAGGATATTTGCGTTTGTGAGTTTGTGGCGCTTTATTTCATGTCCCGGCTCAGACCGTCGGCACACGAGAGTGTGGCGACATTCCATGCTAGCTGCTCGTCGGCAAGTGCAGCACGAGCCCACCAGCATGCACATGCCATATTATAAACTAACGGACCGGATATTTTTGGTATTAGTGGAAAGTTGCTTATATATAATCATTTAATCATGGAAAGTTTAGTTGATCATACTATATCATACTTAAAGATATTTAAAGCATGTTTATAATGTTTTATGTTTAGTACTTCTTATCCGGATCCCTTTTTGCAATGGTATTGTGGCAGTGTGGGCTTTTTCTCCTTCCAGATGGCGCTATTGAAATTGATTGCTACTTCCAGGCAAGGCAGCTGAGTTTGACACTTGGCACGCGCAGCACTAAGAGTTCTGTGGAGTGTCTGATTGAAATGTCCATGTTGGTTTATAGATTTATTGTTATTGATGTTATTGTTTATTTTGTACAATATACCGTCTTGAAATGTCTTGATTTACAGTTTGGGCTACCGTAAATTGTTTCGCAATTTTCCTGTTTGACTTCGTTCTGCAGTGGCTTGCTTTTGCTTGGACCTTGAGGCTCTTTGTACTCCGGGATGCAGTATTTGTCCAGGCCGGAAAATATGACATGCTGGAGACTTTCGGAAGACTTGTTTACATTTCGATGTGCGAAAATTAGATAAACCGATAAGCGGCTGATAAGCAGCCTATAAGTTTATTTTATATATAAACCATTTGTTGCAGCAGCTCCGTCCGTCGTGTCTTTGTTCTACGAGTTCCTGGTCACCCCACACAGTTTTGTACAGCAGTAAACAAATCACACAAATTGTGCCTGCAATGCGGGTGGCAGTGGTGGTGGTGTGGTGCTGTTAGAGACGCAGGAGTGTATTTTGTGGCTTCATGCCTTCCGCCCAACAACATTTGTAACTTATAACATCTTATAACATAATCTGGATTTGAGGTAACAAGACAACAAGACAACGATGAACGCTGTGAAAAGGTTCTGTATAGGCTGGTGTTCTCTGATTCCACCACCTCAAGCTCAAGCATATCGCTGTGTGATTCTTGAAGGCAATACTGGCGTTATCTGTGCGTGTGTGCAAACGTACTAGCATGGGGCAGCGTGCAACCTGAATGTCTATGCGATGTAGGACCTAGAAATGCCGCCAGCATCACTCCACTCCGAGAGAGAGAGAGAGAGATCACTCCACTCCCATTGATGTCAGTTGAAAGGCTACTGCCTACTGTGTGCAACAATCGGTATTCATGCTGCCTGGCGCATGTCAGCAGTACTTCAGCACTGTTTCAAAGCAAATCTTCACTAAGGTGACATCTTGTGTATGGGTTCTGGGTCGACGCTATTCAGTAGTGACCTGCTACTGTGTTGTTTAGAAGCAGGCGGAGCAAACGTGTTCAAATGAAAATGTTGTTGGCTCAGCGTGATTGAAAGCATCCCGAGAACAGTTCTCATATTGCAAAGCAGACAAATTCCTAAGTAACAAGGAGGTCTCCGTCCAAAGCTGGCCATTTGCTGCGCTTAGCTCTTGTTTTAGCGGCACTTGGACTCCTTAGGATTTGCCGGCGAACACATTGGGTAAACTGATGCAAGCTACAGCCTTAGACAAAGACTCCAGAACAACTTACAGTTTTGCTCAGAGTCAAACAACCGGCCCGGGAAACCAACCCTGCAGATCAATTGTACTGGCGACTTTGGATTGCTCATTTCAATTTGTGGTTTCCGACTTTGTCAGGTGGAGAGTCTGCGGACCAAGCACCCAGGAACAGGGCAAGTTGTTGCACTTGCTCCTCAGGAGGCCGCTTTGTGACAGTTTTGACTGTGAAATGAAGAAAAAAGCATTGAAACACGTTGACACAAATTGAAGCTGCTCCTGTCAAGCTCATGGCATCTTTTGTTTGCTTCAAGGAACTTCATGGCGATGAAACTGTGAATCAGAAGCTCACCAAGGATGTGCAGCCTTCACAGGCAAGGGTTCGTGATTTGCAGACATTGGCAGACTGCATTCCACTTTAATGACTTTAATGTCAAACTCTTATGCCAGGGACCCTTCACATACATTTTGGATATCCTCGGCACGCAATCCATAGGCCAGATTGGATCGGGTTTGGTTTGATTTGATCTAGCGAAACGGTGAAACAACACAGAGACTTCGCACATCTTTGCCCTTTGCAATGGCCTTCAGCTCTTGACATTTGCCGACTGGAAATTCTGGCTGAGGTCAACTCGCCTTTCCACTGGATGTAAGTGAACTGCCCCAGCTGCCAATGGCAGAGATGGGTGGACCCACTGAAGGCCACCGTGGGAGAAGGAAGGCTGTGATCGATTTTGTCTTGTGGTCCCCCATGATCCATCATCCTTTGGCGATCTTTTGCACCTGAGACTAAGAGAAGATTATGGTTGGGATGTAGCAATGTTAGCAGCTCACATTGATTTTGAAATCAAAATTGGCAAAGTTTCCTGGCAAAGCGACATATTATGACATATTCCTCAAATTTCCTCATGTTGCAAGCAAATGTATGTACTTTCTGCATCTTTCTGCCAGGACTTGGTGGAACTGTGGTTTTCTTCGCGTTGCTTTTCCTTCTTTTGGTTTGTCACAGGCTCAGGGTTCGTGCCAGCCCGCAAACCAGCCAAATACGATAAACATCGGAGATGTGGGCAAGTGTGGACATATAGATAGTATCGAGTTAAACAATAATGTAGATTATATATAGATGGTAGATAATTAATTTAATAGACAATGCATGGATGAATGGTTGGACGGAAGGATGGATGGATTCATGGATTTACCTTGTGGATCTATATAGATCTGAAGTTGCGCGTTGTTTATGATACGTTCTGAACATGGCAACAGATGCTTGTTCGTGCATGCGTTAGGAGAAAGCAAGGTGTAATGAGAGACGGCGATGGGCAGAGGTGAATGTTGAAGATCCAAGGAAAACAGACCGAAAGTCTACACTAGTTGAAGGGGGAATGATGGTTGATGTGGGACATTGGTCGCTTGTGACCCTAATCACTGTTTCTACGTTTTGAAGTAAAAAAGATAGGGTCACAAGTGACCAGGTGTGCTCGAAGTCCCACACCTGCCACACGAAAATGGTGCGGCCCCTTTGTGGTCGCCTGTGACCCTATTCGTGCCCGAAGCATGATTTTTGGAGGAAGTCTCGCAGAAAAGCTTCGTTTTTGAGTTTCGTAGCTTCATTTTTGAAGGAAGTCTCGCAGAAAAGCTTCGTTTTTGAGTTTCGCAGCTTCATTTTTGAAGGAAGTCTCGCAGAAAAGCTTCGTTGTAGAGCTTCGAAGCATCATTTTTGAAGGAAGTCTCGCAGAAAAGCGTCGCTTAAGACCTTCGAAGCTTCATTTTTGAAGGAAGTCTCGCAGAAAAGCTTCGTTTTTGAGTTTCGTAGCTTCATTTTTGAAGGAAGTCTCGCAGAAAAGCTTCGTTTTTGAGTTTCGCAGCTTCATTTTTGAAGGAAGTCTCGCAGAAAAGCTTCGTTGTAGAGCTTCGAAGCATCATTTTTGAAGGAAGTCTCGCAGAAAAGCGTCGTTTAAGACCTTCGAAGCTTCATTTTTGAAGGAAGTCTCGCAGAAAAGCTTCGTTTTAGAGCTTCGAAGCTTCATTTTTGAAGGAAGTCTCGCAGAAAAGCTTCGTTTAAGGGCTTCGAAGCTAGGTTTTTGAGTTTGGAAGCTTCAGTTTTGAAGGAAGTCTCATAGAAAAGCTTCGTTTTAGAGCTTCGAAGCTTCATTTTTGAAGGAAGTCTCGCAGAAAAGTTTTTGTGTTTGAGTTTCGAAGCTTCATTTTTGTAGGAAGTCTCGCAGAAAAGCTTCGTTTAAGGGCTTCGAAGCTACATGTCATTTATTTATCTATCTATCTATCTATCTATCAATCAATCTATCTCTATCTATCTATCTCTCTCTCTATCTTGTTATCTTATCTTATCTCATCTTATCTTATCTTATCTATCTATCTATCTATCAATCAATCAATCTATCTCTATCTATCTATCTCTCTCTATCTATCTTGTTATCTTATCTCATCTTATCTTATTTTATCTTATCTATCTATCTATCTATCTATGTATCTATCTATCTATCTATCTATCTCTATCTATCTATCTCTCTCTATCTATCTTGTTATCTTATCTTATCTCATCTTATCTTATCTTATCTCATGTTATCTTATCTTATCTTATCTTAACTTATTTTATCTTATCTATCTATCTATCTATCTATCTATCTCTCTATCTCTCTCTATCTCTCTATCTATCTATCTCTCTCGCTCTCCCTTTCTATCTTGTTATCGCTGTATCTCTTTACCTCAACTTCTAAAAACGGTCCGAACATGGTGTGTTTTGTACATGTTGACTCTCTCTCTCTCTCTTTCTATCTCTTTATCTCTCTATCTCTCCATCTCAACTGCTAAAGGCGGTCCGAACATGTTGGTTTTTGTGCATGTTGACTTCGAAATGGACGTCACGCCACAACGGCGTGCACAATTTTGTATTTCTCATCTGGGCAGCTGGCTCCGCGCCCGCCGCTGTAGCGAGCTTACTTGTCGACCCTCCGGAGCCACAAGGCATTGGAAAACACTACCTTTTGGCTCCTCTGCATCTTCTTTCTTCTGACTCGTTCTCTTCTCTGATCTGCTCTCTTCTGCTCTTCTCTTCTCTCTGCCTCTTCCCATCTCTGCTTTTCATCTGCCCATATTGTCGGAAGTTTGATTTCGAAACTTCCTTCGATAATGCAAAATATATTCACGAAGAAAGTTATACACAGACAAACTCGCGGCCAGACAATTATACAGAAAGTTGCGGCCAACCTTAGCAATCCATGCGTCGGTGATGCACTGAATTTCACCACCATTGACAATGGTATAGTATGATAGTATACTGTTATATCCATGCATGTCCATCTATTTGTCCATTAGGGCATTAAGGCATATCCATTCACATTGTACATGGGTTGTACAAGTCTCGTGACCTTCCAATATGTTGCACTGTGGTGCTCAAGTGATTGCTGAAATCCTGGGAGAAAGATTAGTTTGTGAAGTTCATGCGCGCACTTGCGCTAAAGAACTTTCAAATCGCATGTGCCAAGTTGCAGTCCTCAATTGTGCCAAATTTGGTATTGTGTCGTCCGCAGTGGCATTTTGCCAAGGCAGAAGGTGGGTGCAGCATCACGTAGACAAGAAACATATAGTTACGTATTAGGCTTCAATCTGCTTCATGTCGTATCACCGTGACGAGTCAAGTAATGATGTAAGTACGATGATCCGTCCCCCCTAACCAAACCCTAAATGGCTGAGTCAAGTAATGATGTAAGTAGAATGATCCCTCCCCCCCAACCAAACCCTAAATGGCTGAGTCAAGTAATGATCTAAGTTGAATGATCCCTCCCCCCCAACCAAATCCTAAATGGCTGAGTCAAGTAATGATGTAAGTAGAATGATCCCTCCCCAACCAAACCCTAAATGGCTGAGTCAAGTAATGATGTAAGTAGAATGATCCCTCCCCCCAACCAAACCCTAAATGGCTGAGTCAAGTAATGATCTAAGTACAATGATCCCTCCCCCCCAACCAAACCCTAAATGGCTGAGTCAAGTAATGAATCTACGTAGAATTATCCCTCCCCCCCAACCAAACCCTTAAGTGGCTGATTCAAGTA